TTCCCGTGGATTTCTTGGTCTTTGTATATCTGCAGATGGAATCTCTTGTGCGATGCTTGCAGATAAGTTGCTGCAAATGATCAAGAATGTCAGAGAGTGAATATGCGAAAACGAAAGGGAGTGTGTAAATGCAACAAGAAGTTGCACGGAGAGTCTCTAATTGAGTACTTGTGTTTTCCTTCAAGACGAAAATTATCTCTCCAGCTGCATTATTATTATTAAATCCACAAATATAGAATGATAAAACCGGTATTTGTGTGACAATTTAATTGTAAGGGAACATATGAGAAATTCAACTGCCACACTATGCGATAATTAATGTGTGCAGGCTCTTGAGAGTTGATGCCAGAATTTATGTAGTTATCAATTAGCAATAAATAAAAGTGTAATTAACCGGCTACACATATAGTAAGTAAATATTAAGGCGATGTAGGTCAAAATTGTGCCGTAATAGAGCAATTACACATTGCAGTGTCACACGGCGAGTCGTGGAAAAGGAAAAGAGGCGAGAGAGAAAGACCACTTTTGGGCCTATCAAATTCACATATTCACGGGCCCTCGAAGGAGCTGAAAGTGATAAGGTCGACAGCAATTTTAGCGGAAGTTGTCGCTCCACTTGCTTCAAATGCCCCTAAATTATGGGCGGGATAAGGCAATTGAGCTTTCATTGTATATCGAAATTGCTGGAAGATTAGAATGGCACAATTTATTGCCTAATTAGTATATAGGAATTCCTATCAGACCTTAAAGGCTAACAACATTAGTACAAGTAATGCAACAGGTTTTTCGTGCTTTCTTCTTCCACATATGGAAAGAATAGGCGAGGCGAAGAGAAGGAACTTATCAAGTCGATCAGGTGATAAAGTTTGTCCAGCAATATTTGACTGATATTCAAAATACCGCGTGAATTTGCTGTCTAATCAATCAAATAATGAATTCTACTCAGGCAAACAGATCTTCGCGTGGAATGTTCTTGTTTGTTTTCACCTCTTTATTTTCTTTCTCCGAAAAGCATGTGTGTGTATATGTATATTTGATGAACTTGGCGAGCGGAGAGAGTAAGACGCAGTCTTTTATTTGAGCAAGTGATAAGAGTTTTCGTCATGAACGTGTGACGTCGATGGAAATGGCGAAAGCTCGTGGGTGGGAAAAATACAGTGGGACGAATTGAAGCGATAAAACGAGAAGATTCTTCATCCTGCTTCTGGGCGTTAAGCAATTGTAATTTTTATCGCTATATTTTCGTCAATGACGACAAACTTAGAGAGTCATTTGATGGGCGCAATTGATTGCGAAAATTTGTTCAGTTTGAAATTATTCTCCGCATTCTTCTTCAATTATTCCTCTATGGTTCTTCACGTCTCGTAAAAATATTTAATCAATCGAATCGCTTATCTTTCTCCTGTTTTGCAACTCTTACGGTGCCAATTGCGCAATTAACTTCGGCGGGCAAGTAAATATGCGCCCGGTGGAATGAGATCTCCTTCGCCAGCTGTAAGGAAAGAGAAGTTTACAAAGAATAATATTGACTTAATTTCCAACCTTGCCCTCAGTTCACGATGGGAAACCTTTAAATGCCGTTCAATTGAATCAGTTTTTGAGTGAGAGTTTTTCTCATTTCCATTTTGATGTGAGTTTATATTGGTTCATTTGTTCAGCTTCGGCCGCGAGAGAGCGAGAAAGAGATTGCGAGATAAGGAACCGCAAATTATTCCTTATCAATATTGGCTGCTTAAAATGGTAAATATCTGAAATATCACTTGGAATAACCAGGAATACGATCATAATGGAGTGTCTGACAACAACATTATTCGGCGACATCGCGACTTTTATAAATTTATCAGCACTTTTGTTCAACAAACTGGCAGTTTGTGGCAGTTTTATGGTGTTTGAATTCAAATTTCATTCAAAATGTGCGGTCAGGCGACAATCGTTGACCTCAGACGTCCGCTGATGCACTTGAGGAAGCGGTTAGACAAAGAGCGACGAACAAATTGGTATAGAAGCAAGTTGGGTCACTAAGTAGAAAGAGTGGCTTTTCTGACTTGTGGGGAAATCCCAAGAAATGTTGTGTATCCTTATCAAATCTTGACGTCAAGTGATTCTCGTAATTTATGAGATGAATTTGGAGAAGCAAATTTCCAAGGCAAACAAACAAACCCAGGTAAATTGCGGATTTCTGCCCTCACGCCCACCATCCAGAGTCAATATCAACCGATTCGAAACAATACTGAGGGAGTTCATAAAGTACGTAGTTGATAAATTAGGAATTCCAGGGCAAAGAGAGGGAGTTTCTCACGAATTGTGGCAGCGCGTCTCAGTGAAATGTGCCTCGCTGTGCTGAATGAAAGGAGCATGTCTTATGCAAGAGATAGATAAGAGAATTTCATTGAAAAGACCTCCGTTAGACAATGAGAGACCTTTCGAATTTCTCCAGCGCAAAACTTCTACTCTCGAATGCAATTGCAGAATGGTGGCGATTCAATAGGTTTTGTTTTCACTTCTGGGGCGACACCGAACGCCGTGAGATTCCTCACATAGCGCCACTTTTGCGTCAATAAACGGCGTAATTATTTATTGATGGCCGATTGTTTGTGGTTTTATCGCTTCTTGTCGCAAATACCGCACAGAAAATACACCTTTAATATTGACAGAATAATAAAACCAATGCCTAAACTTAATTGTCAGCTGTATAAATGGCAGGAAAAACTAACAACGCATCGCCTGGATTAGAAGCATTTATGCTTGTTTTCCTCACTGCGTGAAAAATGATGTCAATTTCTCTCCCCTCATTGCAAAATATTAAATATGAGATTAATTGTTTCGAAGCCGCCACACAAAGAAAACATCACTCAAGAATTTACTCAACAATTCAACCTTTTTCCAAACTCATTAGCGCTTTTTTCCTCAGCGCTCTTTTGATGGGATTTTCTCTCCTCCGTTCAAGCTGTGCTCAATATTTTCATAAAGCGAAATGCAGCGCGGCCTTGACGACCTTGGCTTGATCTGTCCATCAGTCGCTAAATCGGATAGTTTTTAAAAGCCTTTTTGCACGCACAATTCTTTAAAGTCTGGCCCAAAGAGCAAAGTCTCGAGGCTCAATTCGGAAAGTCCGCCAAGGAGGCAATTTCAATGTCGCTTAGCACTTTAGAGAAATTGCTTTTTGATTGCAGAGAGAGAGATGCCAAAAGTGCCATGGAAAAATTACCTTCCGAATTTACACAAGTGTTAATTAATCTGCGTGATAAATTGGCCTTACTTTGTTGCAAGAGGCATTTGCTGAAGTGCCGCCAAAGCTGCAAGTTTTCACGGATCATCTCCGCTTTTGACGCGAACTAATGCGAGTATAGAAGAGACAAAGTCGCCAACGTAGTCTTTATTTTCGGGAAGATTTCCAGCTGCTGTAAATTGCATGAAATTTTAAATGCCTGGCGTCAGAGATGTTGTGAATAATATGTCATCTTATGGCATCAATTAAACTAATTTGATCAGCCAAGGGACATTCAGCGCGGGGAATCAGAATTTATTGGTATTCTTTCTCGAATTGGAGCTCCAAGGCGAGATGAAGCCAATTCCGTCTTCGCGGGTGGCTAAGCGATTTTATCGCGCGCGAAAGTGATTATTAATTTACCAATTAAGCACTTGACTTGTGTGCTGTGCTCAACACTTGAGCGCAATAAAGCTCGACGGAAGTTGCTCTCAGATCTTCGGAAGTGAGGCTCTTAGAGCGAACAATAGTGAATTTTGCCCTCTCTGTCGCACTGATAAGGCCGCACAAGAGTATCACCGAAATTGGCAGTGAAAAATCTCATGATAAGGCCAAGCTTCCGTCGCACCTGAAAATCACTCATTTTTTGGCACACAAACCATCCACAAAGTCTGTTCGCAATGTCGCGCGCACAAAACAGACAGATAAGAGCCCACCTTTTCAATTAGGTGAATTCTCCAGCTGAAAATTAATTTATCTCCTCGCAGGAAAGAAGTGCTGCTAATTGATTCCGATTGGTGATCAATTAATTTTCGCTGACATTGAAAATTTTCAATTATGCGACGCACGCGGCGCGCGAAACGCTGGGTGAGTAAACATGGAAATTCGTGGCGTGGGGAAAATGGCAAAAATTCACGATAATTTAATGCCCCCTTGGTTTCCGACACATGCATAGTTATGAATGGATGAGAAGCGGATATTGTGTCATCGATTAGTTCTATTTGTGGAAAGCTCTTATCGGCGCTTTTTTTCACTCCTTGGAATGTCCAAAATCAGAAAATGCCAAGCATGTCAGACTTATTGATTCCTCGCATGAGATGCACATTCTTTTCTCTCTATTAGGGAATTTAATTAAGATTTTACAGCAATAAGAATGTGAAGAAATATTTTCCTAGAAATTCTGGTTGAAGTATCTATAATTTATTTTTTTGCTGGTTTAACGCGAATTGTAGGTTGAGGAGGAAAATAATGGTTCTGAAATTGAATTTTCCGCACTGAGATTTCCTGAATTGCATTTGAAATTCCCAAAGCTTCTTGATATTTTATGTTTGATCGAAGATTGTACAAAAACAAATTAACTTTTGATTCAACTAATTATCAGCCGTTATAGCGAGGCTAGAGATTCAAACTTTCTGAAAAAAATGTAAGACTTTCGTTTTAGGTATTAAAGAAGCGTCTTATACTTAAGTGTACAGAATCTACCTAAATTAAGCAAATCTACAGAAGTTGGTTTAATCCAAGCTAGAGCTGCGGCAGCTCCCTAGAGCAGTCTCTCTAGGCTAGAGTGGATCTACTTGCGCGACAGCTCGTGAGAAGCGCTGGCGCGGTGTGCGCCAAGGCTAAAGCAACGCCCCCAAGACACCGTGCTCCAAGTCCACCGCAAGAGCTTCTACTGTGGGGAAAATTCCACTGCCTTTTCCCCACTCGGCAGCCGTTGAGTGGCTTCGGCCAGCTCTGTCATTGAGTGTCATTCACACACAGAGCCACTCTGCGTTGTGTGAACAGTCACAGAAGTTGACTCGCGTACAGCTTGATCTCTTGGCGTGCACACAGCTCGAATAATAAAACTCGAAATAAAATCCATGCTAATCGCGTGGGCATTGAGTTGGAAATTCCTACTCATTCTTCAGCTCCATTGTGGATAATCTTTTTGTGTTATTCTTTCGATGTCATTTTTCGTGGGTGTATGGGTGATTTTCCTTCCTTTCGGATACTGTATTGCGCATTGAACACTGTATTCCTGTAGCATCTTCAATCGGAAGTGGTGAGAAAAAAAGTGAAGTGTAATTCCAATAGTGCATCATTTCAATTCTGCTGCCTTCTTCTCCGTCGCTTTGAGTTTTCTGACCACTTCTGTGCTTCGGGATTCGCTGTGTGAAGTGCAGTGGTCGAAAAGTGTGGCGAAAAGGAGGTGAACCCAAGGGAATTCCAAGGGACACTCGGAGACAAGTCGTTCCAGAGTGAAGTAAGTCCTTCGCAGGAGATGCTTTGACGTTGTGCCCAATTTTCCCCGCTTTTCCGTCTCTGTGACGATAGTGTTTTGTTCTGGATAGTTATGCATAGCGCAAATGAATTTCCTGTCAAATGTTTCTGCATGTATATTCACTCTCCCAGTTCAATATCTCGCCACCATCCAGCACATGAGCAAAAAGAGGCACAATCACAAGTGTGAAAAGCACCGGAAAATGCCTTCGTGTTCGCCCAGCGATGAAAAATCACAGGTGAACTTCTGAGGCATTCTCGCGAGGGTGGTCAAAGTGCCACCCTCGCAGCAGCCTTTCGCAGTGGAAAATGGGGCCGCCGATTTTCGGGGGAGAAAATTAGGGGGAGGAAATTGAAAGACTCCGCGAGGGAAAATTGTGCTCTTTTAGCCACTTTTCCACTCATTTAGCGTGACGATTTCCATTTAACCACTGGAGGGACTTTTCTTCTTCCCTCCAAATGTAGTGCTTTTCCCATTTGTATTTCCCGCAAGATTGACTCGTAATTGCATAGCTTTTCGACAAAATTTTTTAATGATCCGCAGAATTTCTGTAATGACATTTTTTTTCACCTTGTCTTTCGCTAAATATTAACTTTCGTACTGAAGTTTTTCATAACAAAAGGATTAATAATTCATTTGAAGGTTTGAAAAACATCTTTAAAAAACTCACGTGTAGAATAATTTCGCACTTTATGACCAAACATTTTGTCAATCTACATACATATTTGCGGAAGTATCGATAAAGATCATATATCTATTCATCTTTCAGTTCAGCGAAATATTGCATGTGTAAAGAAAAATTAAAAATCCAATTTTCCCTTTCATTATTTTACATAATTTTTGTAACAAACCTTCATTATCTCTCTATTAGCGTCATAGATGATCATAATTGGTTCACAAACACGTCTTAAAATTTTTAAACATTCAATTTTTTGTAATATCGGTGAATTCTAAATTACGCTAATCACAATCAAAAACAATTTGCATTTTTTATAATAGAGATTTCTCAGAATAGAACATTATAGTTGTTAATTGTATTGACAAATGCTCAACATTCCAGTAGAAATTACAATGAAGTGAAGAAATATTTTGCAACATTTTTCTTACAGTCGTATTAAAGAAGTGTGTGGCAACTTAATGACTGTTTAATTTAACAATTGCACGAGAAATCACGATAAAATTGGTAAGATGGGAGAAACAACAGCATAGAAATGCATTTGATGACAAGTTGAGTAAATGTGAGGGGAAAAAGTGGAAAAAAAGCCAGCACGCCAAGTGGCGATTAAACAAAGAGGAGAGAATATTTACATGACATCATACATTTTCAGCGGAGAGACTTGAATTTCAACTTCCCACATTTTGAGGCCTCAAACATCGCATTCACCTCGCACATCGCGGTGTCTTTTCGCGCTTTGCTTTTGTGTGTGCGAGACAAACAGTCGATGACGCGCTGAGAGTGATCAGAAAAAAAACCTCTTCAAATCGCACTAATGAGTACTGCAATGTCAATTGTTGGAGTTTGCACAAGTTATTTAAATTGGAACAAGTCAATTTGCCATCCAGAGACTCCAAACTGTTTTCCTACTTGCGTGCTCAACTACTGTTTGGTGGTATTTTCTCTCTTTTTCTCCCTGCTTCTCAGCCTGAGCCTCATTAATTGTTTGTACAATTTATCAGGTAGCTCAAAATATTTGAATTAGAGACGAATTTCATGAAGCACTACGAAATTAATGCCATAAATTAGAGAGCAGAGCCAAGAATACAAGTCCATGTGGATCCGGTTAGCGATAAAATTGTGTCACACTGTTTCTCGTTCATCAATTGCTGGATGGTGGCGTTTTAGAGTGCACTGAGATGGCGCACAGAATGTTGGGAAATTAGAAAGTTGCTCAGTAGTTTATGCTATAGTGCAAAAAAGGTGTGACAGTTCCGTGGATGTAACAAGAAAATTGAATCATTTGACAATCATCGAGCTTTCCATGACAACTTTGGCACACTATAGAGCTTTCACGAGAGATATTTTTTCGCTTTGTGTTCCCACAAATAAACAAGATCGTAAATTTTACTGAAAATGTCCACTTGCACAATTTTTCCATCACATTTCCCTGCATTTAAGCAGAGAGACAAACATCAAAAGCCACCCAAAATACCCCGTATTTGAAACACACACACACAGTTTCTCAGTTCATACAAAATACCTTAAGAGGTGGGGTCAATGGCATTAAAATTGAATTTCCTCATTCTCTCTCGTAAATCTATGCTATTAAATTTTTTATTGTGAATTTGACCCTGTTCAAATGATATTGGGGTGAATTTGGGAGCGAAAGGTGGCCAGAGATAATAAATTTCACCCTCAATCTGGTGCAAAGGTCAAAAGTCTATGCTGCATGAAGATTTGGCGTTAGTATTAAGAGCCACTCTCTTGGAGGAACACTCAGCCTCCCAATTTAAATCCATAAACCATCACTGAAGAGCCCACCAGTCCGTAAAAGAATTCAGAGCGCTTCCCAAACTGTGTACCTGATGTATTTCATAGACATTGAGACACATTTAAGCCACCCCTATTCGTTTGCTCCGCCCACAAAGCCTGGAGCGATACATTTGCGGAATGATTAGCCTCTCGAAATAGTTTTAATCCTCTTGAAAATTAATATAAGGGAAACTTTTAGTTTGTTTATTGCCAGCAATCTGTATTCGTATACAATAAGCTTTCTTGAAGTTGTGTATAAGTGACAGAAAAGGGGTTCAAGTTTTTGTGAATCCCAAACTAAAACGTTTATAAATACATAAACAAGTCAGATGGCTTTAATCGCCTGAGTCTCCTGCATTCCCCATGGTCTATTGCCAAAACCCCCGCCAGGTCGTTCGGATGGGATAAGAGCCGATCTCCGTAACTCTCGCTGTATCTCTTAATTTCATCGGAAATCATAGGTATGTTGAGATCCTTGTGGAGCAGTTCATTTGTGACGTACCACGGTGCGTTCACGATTTGCCTTAAGGCCTTGTTCTGGAATCGCTGCATTATATCTATGTTTGACTTGGCCGCCGTGCCCCAAAGTTGGATTCCGTATGTCCATACTGGTTTGAAGATTGTTTTGTAGATGAGGAGTTTGTTTTCAGTGGACAACCGAGATCTTCTTCCCACAAGCCAGTAGAAAGTCCTCCATTTTAGGCCAAGCTGCTTCCGCTTATTCCATATGTGTGTCTTCCAGGTTAGTCGTTTGTCTAGATGGATTCCGAGATATTTGGTAGAGTCTGCCTGTGGGATCTCCCGTCCATTCAGTGTGACCGGCGGGCAGTTTCCCTTCCTCAGTGAGAAGGTGACGTGCATAGACTTCTCCTCGTTGACCTTGAATCTCCAATCCCGAAACCATCGCTCCATAATTTGAAGGCCGTGTTGTAGACATTGGGAGGCCGTCACCGGTGACTCATTCCTGACAAGAATAGCCGTATCGTCGGCATAAGTAGCTATCATTGCTGATGGTGGGATGGGAAGATCAGATGTGTACAGGAGAAAAAGCACAGGGCCCAGGACGCTGCCCTGGGGCACGCCGGCGTTCACCTCGCACAATGCCGACAACTCCGATCTCTGCCGCACAAGGAAGACACGACTCGTCAAGAAAGATCTCAAGACTCGATAGAAGGGCGCGGGTAAGAGCTTCTTCAGCTTGTAGAGAAGGCCCTCATGCCAGACCCTGTCGAAGGCCTGACTAATGTCCAAAAATGCCGCCGTGCAGAACTCTCTCTCTTCAAAGGCGGAATGAATCGTGTCAACCACACGATGAACCTGCTCCACTGTTCCGTGCCCCTCGCGGAAACCAAACTGGTGAGGTGGAAGGACGTCCCCGCCGACGGAGGCCCTCATCCTTGTGAGCAAGAGCTTCTCGAAGATCTTCGACATCACCGGCAGCAGACTTATGGGACGGTACGACTCCACAGCCTCCGGCTTTTTGCCTGGCTTGGCAATCATAATTATCTGTGCGACCTTCCAGTGTGACGGGAAACAACCAAGGCGAAGTATGGCATTGAAGATTCTCTGGATGAATCTCAGGCATCTTGGCGAGATTTCTCTGAGTATCGCGGCCGTAATCAGATCAAAACCTGGTGCTTTTTTCGGGCTTATTCCATAAAGCAGAACATCGAGGATCTCTTTCAGTGTAAACCTTCTTATGCGCCGCACCGCGGAGTCGGACTGCTGCACCACAACATCATCGTCCGCCCACTGAGCAGGAGCATCCGACCAGGGCTGAAAGACTCGTGCAAGATGGCCCGCGAAGACCTCGGCCTTTTGAGCGTCGCTTCTAGCCCAAGCCCCATCTGCTTTCCTAATCGGAGGAACAGACAGGGCTGGGCGATTGAGTTTCTTTGTGGCCCTCCAGAGGTTATAATCAGTGGCGCTCGTGGGCGATAAATTCTCCAGGTATGATCCCACTGAGTCATCTCGAACCTGTCGCAAGAGTTGTCTCAGGTTTTCCGTGGCTCTATTATACTCCGCCTTGTCTTGCGGATGACGGGAAACTCTCCACCTTTTCCTGAGTGCTCTTTTCTTCTTGATGAGGTCTCTCACGGCTGCGGGCGCTGCCATAGCGGGGGCCACTCGCTCAGAGCAGGGAGTAGAGCTCCAGGCCGCCTCCTGGATCGTCTCAGTCAAGTGGACCACTGCCGCCTCCAGATCCAACTCCGTATTTATGGCAGGTAAAGAGGCAATCTTCACGTCCAAGTGTCTGCGAAACTTGGTCCAATCCGTACGCTTATTGGTGAGAGAAGGCGGGCTGGGGAAGAGGGCAACATCAGCGCTCAGCTCAAGCACTACCGGAACATGATCAGACGAGAGATCAAAATGAGTCCTCATTCTACATTTGCTGGTGTCCACGCCCCTTGCAACACAGAAGTCCAGAAGATCCGGCAGCTTGTTGACGTCCGTTGGCCAATATGTAGGCTCTCCGGCAGAGATGTGAATGCACGACTTTTTCCTCATAGCTATATCGAGCTCTCTCCCGCGAGGGTTTGCCAGTCTGGATCCCCATTGAGGATGTTTTGCATTATAATCGCCGCCAGCAATGAAACGTTGACCTAGTGAGTCGATGAATTCCTCAAAAATGCGGCTTTTCAGCTTGTGTTTTGGCGGGCAGTACACAGAAGAGATGACCATTGGGCCACCCCAACACCAGATCTCTACACTCGTTGCTTGGAGAAATTCCTGTTTAAATTTCTCTCTGACTGAGTGTTTAATGCTCCTCCTGATAAGAATAGCCGTGCCACCATGAGCCGTGCCGTCAGGGTGCCTTGTGTTGTACATAGCATAATGTGGGATCTTCAAATAACTTCTGACCGTAAAATGAGTCTCTGATATTAGCATGATGTCGATATCATTAGCCTGTAGAAATGTCTTTAATTCCAATGCATGGTTGCAAAGGCCGTTGGCGTTCCAGATGCCAATTTTTAAAAATTGGATCATCATGGAATGAGCTTAGTGATGACTTGAGAGAGAAGATTCATCATTGTGGACATTTGCTCTGCAAGTGTTTTCATCATCGCCTTGAGCTCACTCATGTCAGATGCATGGGCTGCAGGAGATGCGTGGACAGCTGGGTTAATTTCGCCTGAGTTCGCCGCGTGTTGTTTGTTTACATTTTTAGTGACGTTTGCATATGACGTTTGTGTGTTTCGCCGTGAGCAACCCTCTCCCGGGGCAGGAATTTCAGGCAACTCCGCGCCCCGTCGCAGTCTCAATTCAGCACGCAGCTCGCGCACCCTCTGCCTTAGTTCGGGGCGGTTTCTCTGCACCAGCTCAAGGTGCACTTTGCAGCCCTTGTAGTTGGCCGGATGGCCCTCGGAGTCACAGTTCACGCACTTCACTTTGGAATCACGCTCCTTGCGGGGGCACTCAGATGTCAGGTGAGAGCCCGCGCATTTCACACACCTGGGCTCGCGACTGCAGAAAGCCTTAGAATGATTAAACCTCTGGCACCGCGTACACTGAACAGCCTCCTTTCTTGCATGCGGGGGCTCAAATTTCACGACATAGTTCAGTAGTCGATCGACAGAGTATATGTCCTTATTGTTGGGCTTCGGGTGAAGATCCACGTAGAATAAGGACATGGGGAACTTTGTGGTTCTATTCCTGATGTTGTGGACATTTGTGACACTGTGACCCAGGGCCTCCAGTGCCTTCTTGATGTCATCCATGGGGGTAGAGAAGTGGACATTCCTCAGCACAACTCTGAAGCTGCGCTCATCTCGTGGTTTGTAAGAGTGCATGTCGGTATTGTTTTCCTTCAGCTTTTTCATCAGCGATCGGTACGCGTCAGCAGTCTTGACGCGGATCTTCACAGTGCCCCTCTCCATGGACTTCATTGAGTATTCCTCGTCAGTGTACTCCTCAAGGAGCTTCCTCAGAGGGTCGATCTGTTCCACGCCGTGTACGAAGATCGGCGGAGGACGCGGGCTGTTTTTCTGCGCCGGCTGGGCAGGTTCATTGTCCGGAGCAACAGGCGCAATTGGCTCGAAGCGGTTTGAGGTGGGCACGGGAGGCGCAGCAAGCCAGTAGTTGCTTAGCTTTGTCTGTTTAGTTTTCCTGTCCGTCGGAGGGGCTCCTTCTTCTCTTCCTCTCTTTCCGGGCGTTGTCAAATTAATAGTAGGTGCAGCGATGAGCTGCCTGTCAGTGGCGCGGTCCGTCATTTTTGTAGAAAAACGTTGAAATTGTCTTCGAGATCGCACGGTAAGTTCGCCCCACACGAGATGGTGTGACCGTGGATCCCTAGGACCTAAAAGTAGTGCGCCAAAGGGCTTCCAACAAAGACAAATATAAGAAAACGGCCAGAGCGACGAAAACAAACAGCCAGTCACTTGCCTGAAGTTGGCGCCAATAATATAAGGGAAAGTTTGAGTAGATTTTGGGTCGGGAATTGCAAGCGCTGTGCAAGCATGTGAGTTTGATATTAATTTTGTAAGGAAGCTTTTTCATTATGTCTCACAAGTTGGCCTCTTCGAGTCTCAGGCATTCTATTGATTTAACATGCTGAATTTTCGTGCTATTCATAAATATCCATCGAAAATAGGGCTTGTGCAGTGGAATGTTATTACATTGGGAAAAGTTTGCTTAATTTCCATATTAGTGGGCTCTTTGCTGAGGGTTGCATCTGATGAAAATTTACACTCTCAACCCAAATTACAGCGCTTTTCAACCTTGGTGCGCTCATCTGTGTGTGAAAGAGAACTAAGCTGCAATTAGATTGCAAATAGCTGCCAATTTATGATCGCTTCATTTCCAAATGAGAATCCCATTAAATCTCACAATGCCTCCATTGTGGTGTCATGAACAAACTCTTTGATTTTGAAGTCAATAAGCCCATAAAACGTCCACAGAGGTTCCACTGTTTGCAAATCGCGAAGCTTTTCTGGGCTCATGTTGTAGAGAAGCATCTGACAGTCCAATATTGTCCTGAATCGAATTTTCTCTTCCATCGACAGGTGCGAATTTTCAATACATCAAGTCCTGAATTTGTGTCAACTCTGTTTTTCAATATTCAATGCTGTCTGTCTTTATTTAGTTCTTGAAGTTCTTGGGAAAATATCTTTCCTCAGACGAAATTGCGAAAAAGAACATCCGAACGGACTCAGTTGTGAGCATTTCGGGTTAATTGTTTGATGATGTCGGCAAAAAGTATGTGGAGACATTTTCAAATTGGCCGTGTTTGTTTTGGTAAACTGGGTGACTTTTTGCTCATTGACGACTGGCGTGTGTACATTAAACACCCTATTTATGTATCAGTATGTCAAGCTCGCTGCTTAAAGCCTCCTATTGCGCACTTGATGAGATCCGTGAAGTTTTTCCCTCTGCCTTTTTCCACTCGCAGATCGTAAAGATCTTCTGGAATTTTCACACGAAAGAGGAATATTTCTGAAATGTCATCCAGTGTGATGGCGAAGGGAAGAAGGGTCGATTTGCAGTGAGAGCTTTTAATTGCCACCCACTTGAACTTTTTGCTTTGTCGTCATTCAAAGTTTGGTGCGATGCTTTCTTGCCCTCGCTGAAGAATTCACGAGGGTCGGAGAGGAACATTTTTTGCCCTTCCTTTCACTCTGCGAAGTCAGAAGACGAGATGATGTCCTCATTTTGACGCTGAATAGGCAGATTTCTAATTACAGATAAAAATGATGTGTGTGGAAGTACACAAGAGTGAATGGAGGCGCTTCTTTCAAGCCACCGCAGAGGAAAATTTCAGTGAAGGAGTGCGCTTAGAGGGAAAATGGCCCGAGAGTCGCACTCCAGTTCGTGCGGGCACAGTTGAGACGGAAGGAGTGTAACAATAAAATTGTAACTTTGGCTCAATGGTGAGACCTTCGCAGCACGAAAATACCAGCAATTTCGGGCCGAAATAGACGCGCAAAGTGAAAGAATGGAAGCAAGTTTTCATTAATCTTTGGTCCCCTTCCTTTTTTCCGGCTCTGTTGATTCAATATCGTGTGTGTGTATCTTCTTAATAGGATGTTACATGGATAATCATCAGAGTCCCACACATTTGCCGCCAACCCACAAGTATTACCATCACATGAGGGGTTTATTTTGAACCTCCTTGAGCACCCCATGAAAATATAATTGCGAGAAAGAAGTATCCAGTAATTTCGAAGCAGTTCAAGACATAATGATGGCTCTTTATTTTTGCGAAATGTCACACATTTTAAAATATTCAGCTTAAATACCTTCTATTGTTGCGTTAAACCATATTTAAAATCTGTTTAGAGTGTGCTCACAGTTTTAATGCTCCTAAATAAATGCTCTTCCTGTGTAATTTTAATTATCTACTCCTTTAGAGAGTTATTTGTGAACTTTTCAACTTACACTTCTTTTTTCAGTAACTCAATTCCCTGAAAAAAAGTTGAATTTAAATATAATCAGTATTTTTTGCTGAATGTAAGTTAAATACATATTTCTGTATCAGAATTTTACAAAATCATTACGGCCATTGACCGCAGTTAATGCGGTCTCTGACATGTTCCGTGTCTCAATTTACATTTGAGTGACTCTCAAAATTGACCGGTGAAGCCAACAAAGTCGCAACACAGAAAAGAGTTCACTGCAAGTTTTTATTCGCAGAATAGATGGATTTAATACGTATTGTATTGGTTTTGTGGCTGCCGGTGTCGAATGACTCGAAAGAGAGCCACAATTTATACCGCACTGTGGCTTCAATCGGAATGATCGTCACCCTTTGCGTCGGAGGACGTTGAGGAGGCTTCTGACGGTGTCTTCTCGTTGCTCTTGATCTTCTTGAGCTGCTTCTCATAGTCCTCAAAGATGGGGGTCAGAATGGCGAAGGGATTCTCTTCAATTCTCGTCTTTATGCGATCCAAAATGGATTTGTTCAAGTCTGCCAACATCTCTTGCTTTTCGCGTGGTGAAAATTCTTCTGACGATTTCGGCAAGTTACTTGCCGATGTCACGACCGGTGAACTTGTGGTTTTGCAGAGTGCGGAGAAGAGTGAATTGACTGAAGTTGTCTTTGAGAAGCCCTCAAAACCACTAAACAATCCCGTGGACTTTGTCGTTGAAACGGTGCGTCTGAAAGCCGTTCGAATTACGCGATTCTTCAGTTCATCCTCGGAGGCTTTCTGGAAAGTCCCTTTTTCCTCTGGGACATCCTCAACGTCCCAGTTGTCGCTGTTCAGGGCACACAAACTCTTCCTTTTGCTCATTATGATTGTCGAAGTGCAAATTCTTCTTGTTTTTTTCACGTATTTTGTCTGCAATAACTCTTTTGGAAGTGCGCTTCGTTTCACACGCACTCTTGACTTGACAATATTGCTATCGGAAGATTTTGGGGTGCAAAAAGCTAATGATGACCTCAAGCGAAGTGACGATTAGAGCCGAAGTTAGACGAAATACTGTGCAAGAAATGTAATGCAATGTGAATGGAAATATATAAGCCTTTCGCATTCATTACCAGCTATAGAAATCATATTTTCTTTAAAAACTTCTGTAGAACTTCAAAACTCTGGCGGATTAACGTGAGTGATAAAAAGCCACGCTTTGAATCTAAATTTAGATCGCCGCAGGATTAAATGATGGAGTGACGCTTTTCCGTGAATAAATCGTTTGTCATTATTTCATAGAGCAATCGATCCGACCGCGTGGAACTTCCATTGACACGGCGTGCGTGGAGTGGGCTTATTTTTTCGCCAACGAAAACTACACAAAAGGAAGCGGAAGTGGAGGTGTAAAGGGTGGGCTGCAGGTGAGGCAATTTGTGGGACTAAACGGAAGACTCACCAATTGCTGGGAAATGGATATGTCTTCTTCGGTGGCCATAATTCCATTACCACTCGCCATTCTTGTGCTGGTCTAATGAAATTTACACAAAGCGGCTGCTCCGAGGGTGGATCACTAACTTTTCCACGCATCATCGCGCCCTGCGGCGCCCTGAAAATCGCTTTTCTCCGATTGTCAGATGGATTTAGCAAATTGATTTTCAAGTTGCTGACTCACTTACACTGTCATACTCTCTTAAATGCTCATTTTCTCGTGACGTAGAGCGAATTGCGTAAGCGGATGCAATTATCCGTGTGTAGTTGATGAGTGATTTCCACGAAAAAAGAGTTTTTGTTGTCTTTTTTGCCACTTGACCTCTGATTTTTGTTTTGTGGATATTTTTGACTGTTTTTTCGCCCCGGTCAGACGTCACAGAGTTTATGTTTATGCAATGCATTTATTGATTTTCATGGGGGCCTTTTGAATAATTTTGCACAAAGAGTGGATCAATCTATCACTGCATGTTGGGCACAGAACTCTGACCAGAGAATCTGCCTTCAAATGCCATTCAATGCTCCACGACTGGACGCTTCGATGCTTATGCATATGTACATATGTATAGTCAATGGCAAACATTCGAGTGATAAAGTATAATCACAAATTGTATGCACATGCAAAAGAGTTCAATAGAACGCATATTATTAAGGTCTCTCGTCTGGTTTTCAACTCACATTTTACTCACACAAACATACACACACACACACACACACACACATATTTGTATGGTTGCGAAGTGTTTTGAAATTATTCATAAGAACTCACAAAGTCAAGTGTTGCACACAAGTTTTATCCTCTCCTGAGAATCTCAAAACTCTGTGCAAAGTAATGTGAATTTCATGCTTTTAGTTGTACTGTTATCCTGAAAAGTCCTCACACTCCTGCCGTGTCTCAATTGGTGTTCAAACACTCTCACTGCAACTGATAACACTGTTCAGAAGTCCTGTGCAAATGTGATCCCACTTGATGTGTAAACTGTAAAGTACCCTTGCTCGAGTATCCTTCCCATGAGCTTTAATGCATGTCCATTGTGTGGATTCCAAATTGGCGAGGAAGGAAAGGAAATGTACCGAAATAAGATGCTAAATAACAAGAGCATGAGTGTCTTAATTGGCAGTAAAAGATTGTTTCTCAGCGAACACAATATGCATAAGAAGCGTGTTTGATCGAATTTTAGCACAATATTGACCTGAATTAAGCTCATTCGAGGAGATTTTGGTAATTGTCTCACTTCTGCTCAATATTGAGCTGAAGAAAGCAACCTTTCTAACACTTTCGATCAGCATCATCTCTAAAAAGTTGTGCTAAAATGAGTGCTTTTCAGAGCAAATTTTGAATGACGCCGAGAAATGAAGCAAATTGGGTTCGCTGAGCTCACGTAAAGTTGTTGTACAAATTCCAACTGACATAAATCGTTATGCTCTTTGGCCGAATCATTGGATTGTCGTTTGTGGCGCACGCTGAAGGACCACATAATTGCAGAGGGCGACCATGAGACTCGTCTACGAAGCGACGCATGAGAGCTTTGCCCTGCCAATCGGCGAACTGAGCCAGTTCGTGTCGCTGCCGTCGCTGCCGCGCTGGGGCCACCAAACAGCCCAGTTGCACTTGCGCCGCGCGGACTATTCGGGGCTCGTGGATCAGCCGCGCCACAAGTTGAGCCCCTTCCCTCACGCCCAACACATCAATAACCGCCTTATTCTGTGGTAAAGATCTTCCGCTAAACTAATCGTCCTTATCTTCAGTTCAGCATTTTACTTGTGTTTCTTCAGTTTACACTCTGTGTTTTCATCTGTCCTGAATTGATCTCCAAGGTGATTCTGTCATAATTACATTGCTAATTGAGGATTACCTCTTGCACAGACAACGCTGCAAATTCAGCGAGATGAGCTCTCATTTCGCACATATTTGCATAATTCCTCATATATCACAGCGGCTCTTGTGAATGTACATGAGAGTGAATCAACCTTCATTCACCGATTCGTGTCAGATGATTAATTTTTCACGTTTTTCACTCGACTTTATGTTTATTTTTTCTCTCTCTCATTCAGAACCTTCGTCTTGAAACGGCTTTTCTGAGCATTTCCGCGTGTAGTTCAGAAACGAGGGAAAGGGATGTAATCAAAACTGTTTCTCTCGGGCGAAGCTTGATATTTCGCGGTAGCAGATAAGCTTCCAGAAATTGATAGCCAGTCATTGACTCTCACACATGAAACTATGAATAATGCCGTGAATTCGATTAAGCTAAATATCTGTGTTTGTTCTACATTTCTTCATGCTTATATTTTTAGCCTAGAATCAAGCAAACTAAGTAAATAATTTAGCACTAGAACTACTGAAAAGTTTATTAATAATATTTCTACTTGCGTCACTTCATTGTTGTTTGATGAGCTTTGCTGAACATTTAGTGATGCGGAAGAAGAAATGTTCAGCCTGAAGGTGACAAAATAGCCATTTGGTAGTTTTAGTATTGATAAACGAGTCTTATTAATTGATGAAATACTTACTCAATCATCAACATTCATGACAGGTCTCATCATGACTAATGCAGTCTCATTTCCCAGCCCTACAAGTTTATTTATGACTAGAGCTAGTTCACTTGACAGAGAATTTAATGAGAGTTGCCAATATTGTTTGCATGTTTTTGAAGAGTTTATGATTCATGATAGAGTTTTTTGATACAGTTTTTCCTGGTGAGACCAATTAAATTGCACTTTGACGCGCGCATACGAATGCACAATCTCAGATGCGAGATGAATATGTAAAGCTGCGATAAAGAGTGAGTCATTGAAGCGCGGTGAAGCCTCGCAGTCAATGGAAAAAAGTGCTACAGAGAAAAGCTTTTTGCATTTTATTTTCACCTCAAAAAGTTTCCTTATTTTTTCCACTGCCCAGTTCAGTTCCCGTGCGATTGTCGGCAGAGTTGGACGCGCTGTGCTAATGTGTGTTTCTCTCGTTCGCAAAGGGATGGTGATATTTCGCTGCTGAAGGTTGATGCCATCACAAACACGACAGACGAGACGCTGACGGAGCGCAACGCCATTTCCGATCGCATCCTGGGCAGAGCTGGACCTGAGCTGCGAGAGGCCGTGCAGAGGGACGTGAAGTCGTGCCGAACGGGAGAAGTGCGCCTCACGAAAGGGTACAACTTGCCGGCAAAGTACATCATTCACACTGTGGGACCCATTTACAGTGACAAGTACAAAACTGCAGCTGAGAACACACTCCATTTGTGCTACAGGTGAGATGAAAATGAGTTTTCCTCCTCTGCTGTGTTGTGCCCTTACGTGGTAAAGAATGTGTTTGGCATTTAACTTGTAGGGAACATGTTTTGCCCTTTCTGAAACGCCAATATTCACGAGAATTCTACGAAAAATGGCACTACAATTAATATTTTCATCAAAGAATGCCCACAAAAGACTATTTCAAAAAAGATTGTCTACACAAACTGACAGCTTTTTGTTGATTTTGATAAGTTCTAAGTAGTTGTAAGCTTTTGGAAATCAGAAAAGTACTTTGAGAGATAGATAAATGGAAAAAGATACAGATTTTGCTTATTTTACATTTAACATATACATGTAAGCGCTAAAATGTTATCAATCCGTCCAACACTGCTTCTCTGTTTTTGGACCATTTCCCGCAATATTTCCATGAACTCGTATCAACATTAAATACTAGATTAATTTCGGTGTAACGGAAAGCGGTGAATCAATCAATCTGATTGATTTCTGCTATATTTAAACCGCAGTTTTATTTCTGTTCAGCCTGCATTTTGATTCGGTTTTCCGTTGTGGTGAATATTTTATTCGGTCATTAATGGAGTAGTAAAAAATGACTTGATGCTACTGCACATCATCCATAAAGAGAGAAAGAAAAATTGCATAATGCGAGTAGATAAGAATCGTATTGTTAAAATAATGCATGTAATTGTAGTTTTGATATGAAAATTAATTACTTGTTCTCGTGTTAATGCACAAACGAGAGACGCTAATGAGTAAATAATGAGGGGAATCTGCACACAAAGCTTATAATTTAAACAAATGCCAAGAATTTCTTCTATTCACCATATTTTATTGAGCATAGAACACCAGAAGCATTCTGTAGCATTGCAAGCGAAGCACAAGTTCAGGGTGAAAGTTTATATTTTCCATAAACCGCACAACATTGCTTCCTGAGTGAGCTTTTCTCTCTCCTTCTCATGTGAAATATATCTCTTAGCTGTAATTTGAAGTTTCATTATTTTTCCCACTCATATTTCTCAATGAAAATGTCTCATTTTCCCTCCAAACCTACGCAATTGGCGTTGTAGATCAAAGTATTTTTCTATTCACATCTTTTGAAATGGTTTTACCATTGATGTTTGATATGCAAATCAATGAGAAATTGGATTTAGATTCACGATGCGCGAGAAAATTCTCCATGTAAAAGTTGGTGCAAAGAGTGGAAAGTCATCTATTACCGCAGTGAAGACCGATCTTTGGCGGTTCACGTTTAATTATGCAACCAGGTGGAAAAATCCAAAATAAAATGCGCCAAGCGCGACAGTGTGACGCAAGATTTTCCTTGGCGTGTTAGAAAAGTGCATTTCACATTGAGCAAAGTGGCGCAATTTGTTGTGGAATTTCATAAAAGATTTAGCTGGCAAATGAGATTAAATTGCCGCACAACCCGACACGATACAATCAATTCTTTCCATCCCACATTTTTCTCTGCCTTCCAATTTTCCCATTTGGCGATAAGGATCGCAATTTAACGTATAAATTTGTGAAGAATTGCTCATGCACATGAGACAATTGCTTTGTAATTGATGTTACAATCAAATTTTCTGTGCGCTTTTAAATGTGATCAAATTAGACTTATATTCCATTGACATTCTGTGGGCTATTGTGCAATGCTATGTTGAGGGAATAATCATTGGTTGTGTGTATGCCTCTATATTAATATTCACGGTGGAGTTGGAAGTAATTAGTATGGAGTTTCTCGTGTGTCGTGTAAATGAGAGTGGAATTTGGAAAATGTGCATGCAGATTGGCTGGTTTTCACGCTAGATGACGCCAAAGTTGTGTGTAAGCTCGCCAGGCGCACAATTCGCTCGATTCAGCAGCTTATCTTACGTATTCTATCACAGCGCTTTGTTCTGAAAACTCATAAGATATTCCGGAAAATTGCTTCGCAGAAGTGAAGTCTATCTCTTGGGGCAATTTTCGTCACGAACGCGTTTTGGCGGGAAAGCTAACGACTCTCTCTCACTCTTTGCAGGAACGTCCTGCACAAGGCGCACGAGTACGGCCTGAAGACAGTCGCGCTGTGCGTCATCTACTCGGCCCAGAGAAACTTCCCACCCGACTTGGGGGCGCACATCGCTCTGCGGACGACGAGGCGCTTCCTGGAGCAGTACAAGGGCGAGACTGTGGTGCTGTGCCTGGAATCGCACGACCGCGGGATCTATGAAGTGCTGGCGCCTCTGTACTTTCCGCGCAACGACGTAGAGGAGAGCAGCGCTCTGTGGCAGCTTCCGCGCGACATCGGCGGCATTCTGGGCGAGCCCCAGTATCCGGACAGGCAGATTCGCATCATCCACAATCCACAGCACGCCGTCATGATTGGAGGTGAGGCGGGAGTCCATCGATTCGGCCTTATCAGGCGATTTGCGGGCATTTATCTCGCACAGGGTTCACGCTTGAGTGTGTCTGGCCAACTCCCAAAGGGTGTCACCCTATCCGCTCGCATTAAATATTTACACGCGCCGTAGACACACACAATTAACCTACACCCTTTTCTCACATCGAATTTGTTAGTCACTTCGTGCAGAAGTGCAAACGAAGCACGCTTTCGGCCAAATTAAGCTAAATTCGCTGAATTCCTGCAAAAGGATTTTTTTCTGTGAGCATTCCTGAAGTGTCGCGATGGATGAATCAACGAGAATTTCCGTAATTGGGGTGGAAAAGTCAAAAACTGGTGAGTTTTTGGTTGGAAGTTTAGTGCAAAAAAAGTGCTTCAACATATAATTTACCCGAGACGCGAACCGCACGAGATGAAAAACCCAGGCATGAAAGCTCTCTCGAGATTCGTACAATTTGCATGAGTGATTCAAAGACATAAAAGATCTCTCTTCGCTTCTTAATGTTGTACAACATCATTTATGTACTATAATTGGTTGATTTTGTGATGAAATTGCGAACAAAGCGTGTCAATCATTGTTGTTTAATCTTATCAGTGCGCTGTTTACATTTGATACACAGAGACTTTATCTACAATGACAATTTCATTTGTATTGCACTGCCTTGGATATTTTCGTTAATTGATTCGTTGAAATTGGAGACTTTGCCTCTGTGTTTGCCTCCGTAACTCAATTGGGCGATTAATTTAAAGGGACTGAAATGAGTTCAACGAAGGGTTAAGCAAATAAGTGTTTGAGATACTCGAAAAGAAAAATAATTAGAAAAAAGCACACACACCTACGCCTATGGATTAGACTGGCAGTTCAATTGATAGAACTCTTGCTTTTCTGCATTCTTAGCAATCACTTTGCGATCGCAGTTCGCAGAAATACAGATAAAACTTGTCAAGGAAATTAATTTCATAATTGCGCTTCAAATGATTTATTTATTAACTGAAATCGTTGATTTTCCCATCATCATGATAAACAAACACGTTTGCATCTTCTTCAAACATCTCGAGATTTCGTGATTGCGATCCGTATCGTTCCATAAATTTATTCTGCTCGCGTTTTTCAGCTTTTCAATAGCATTTATCTAAACTGAAGTGCATATTTTTCGCACTTGACGTCAAACATTAAGCATTTGATGGGCCAAAAATGAGGATAAATAGTCCTTGAAGACCGTTTTTGGGGTGATTTTCAGTGAATATTCATGATGTATTTTTCCATGTAGATTTATTAGCCTCTCGCCGATGTCAGTGACTCTCTTGACCAGCACTCGAGTGGCGCATTTCTCTAAATAAATTCATAGTGCATCAAAATACAGTACGATCGGGGAGAGAAATGGTGGCGAAGGCGAGATTTGCTCAGTCTATTGGTGTTTGTCGACAGTTCTCCAGCACTTGCTATCGCCGCATTTTATTATTATCTTTTTCAAGGCGGAAATTTCAGTTTCACTCTTGCCTGCGACCGGCAAAGTTTATACACTAAAAAGCAGTCTTGCGCTCTTGTTTTTCCTTTTCGCCAAAGCTCGCCAAAGTGCTTCCAACCTTGAAGATCGCGCGCGCGTCATGTTATTTGAGTGGCTGAGGAGACGATCATTTTTCGGCGGGAAAGCGTTTACTTAGGTTTTGGGGCGGAAATGATAAATGACGCCTTTATTTTCGACTGTAAAGCATTTTTGACAAATTCATTGCCATGACTTGTGACTCTAATGTTTGTTTTTCGCATCTCTTGCAGCCGATGATGACTCCGACACGAGCCCTCACGATCTCGAGGGAGGCGACGTCGATCTGGAGTACGGGCCGATGGGAGGATCGGGCTACGGCTTCGGGTCGCACTTCAACATCGGTCAACACTCCTTCTCGCAGATGCAGGTCAGGCCACTGTCTCAGGGAGGAAATATTTGGCTAGATTCTGGACAGCAATTTCTGTCTCTCCCCCCAAATTGTGTTCAAAATTCTTCCCAGACTTCTTGCACTATCTTTAGAGTCATTCCCTAGAGCTTATCATAGTCTAATCTAGCCTTTTTGTTGTTCTTCGATTTGGAATCCGAAATAATCTTACTGTCTTGATATGATTTCGCTGAAGCATTTGAAGCAGAAAGATTATTTTACAGCGTTTACAGACGTGAAGTTAAACTTGTGGTTTAACTTTAGGTTCATAAACACTTTTAAGCTTAAGTCTTTTCTGGTCATAAATCTTACATGACGAGAGATCCTTATATATAAAAATATTTAGAACATTTTACAGTTCCTTCATAATCAGAAATTTTTAAAATCGTAATTAACAAGCAAAACCTACAAATTGATAAAGATCCATTTTTCTAATTGAAGAATTGTTCGAATTCTGAGTCATATGTTTTAGTTCTTTTAATCTTTTTTAATAATTAAGCTGTTCAGCGTCATTTGTGGCCACACTATCTCCCCCTTTGATTTTCTACGCCTGAATTTTACTGATCTTCTCAATGCTCTCGCAGGGAGATCTTGACCGGCAGCGACTCCTCGGTGATCGTCCGCGTGCGGGCGTGTACGAGAGTGTGATTGATGATGGTCTAGAGGGCATCGAGCACCAAGAGAGGTAAGCAGAGGGACCATAAAGCTGTTGACAGTCTTGAGCCCAAGCTTGAGTCTGATCTTTCGCATCACATTGCCTCCATTATCTCATGTTTATACACGGAAAAAATTGCGTCTATCACCTGAATCACCTCGCGCCTTTATCATCCCAAACAGATCATAATACTAATTGCTGGGGCATAAATTCTCCCTCGCGAGAGATAAAATGGGAAGGAAAGAATCTCATCTAACTCACAAAGATCTTTTATTGAGACACACTCGCGCAAATAAGAGACTTTTTTCTTAATCACCACAATTCACAAATGATTCTGCACTGCGACAGAGATCTTTAAACAGTCTCACAATGACAATCAGGCACTTTTTGATGGCACAGTTGTTCCAAGGAAAAACACAATTTTTTTTGCTCAAGATGTGGTTGTCTGTCGTTTAATTTTTTACGTGAAACGCGTCAGCACAATCGAAAGAAAGAATTATTAACGAGAGACACAAGAAGCTCCTTTGACACGAAATGTGTTCGAAGGTAATTCTATTTTTGGGCGAAAGTTCGTCAAAAGGATCTATTTTTGGGCATAATGTACAAATTCATACCATTATTTTTGGTCTTTATTGATTTCACACTGCGTAAACTTGCTTACAATTGTTGGGTGAGTAATAATGCGTGTCTTTTCAATGCTATATCAAATTCTAAATGTCAAACAAAAATTCCTACACAAAGAATATCTCAGGACGTTCGGAGAAGCAAACGGTCATCAACCCAAAGCACCCAAAGCTTGACCAATTGCATTTCTGTGCTGAACGCCCCATTAAACATTGATATTGAGACAAAGAATTAGTAAAAAAAAAACAGGTCAATTTTCCTCCAGCGCGTACGCATTTTTAATAAAGCGATTTCCTGTCGCACTGCTGAAGAATTTCCTGGGGAATTTCCGAGTGAATCACAAGAAAGAGAGGTAAACTCTTGGGTAAACTGTGGGTCAAGGGGGAGATATTTTGGCCAGAACTTGTGTACAACTGAGAAGAAGTTGGCATAATATTCAAATTAGCGGGAAATCTGCCAAATATTCTGTATTATGTCCAAATGTTTTATTCAAATAGTTGTCTGTTCTGAGACTTGAGGAAAATATTTATATATATATATCTCCCCCCTTGTTGTGGGCTTTTTCACGTGACCATCAGTTAAGGAGCACGAGACACTTTCCACCAACGCTGTTTCCTTCACGTGTGCGAGCCTGTCACCAATAAATCTCACACTTTGACCCACAATCTCCGCCTCATGACGTCACGCCGGCATCCTCGGTGACGTCATGGACGGTATTGATTTTGCCAGCCATTTAGTGGAGCCTCGTGTAGTTTTCCCGAGCGCGTGATCGATATCCTTGCGTGAAAATGCGCAGTTCCACCGAGCAATATTGAGCGTATTATTCTCCTTTGGATAGATAGTTATGGCTTCTGGATGGGCGCATAAAAGAACCCCCCCGAGCGCCTCGCATGTGCGATTATATTACCGCCGTGACATTCTATGACATTCTCGAGGCTCCGGATACTCTGCATTTCTTTTTGTTTCACCACACAATCGCGCAATAATATGTTTTGCTGCCTGGTTTCGCTCAAGAACATCCTCGTGATATACTTGATACTTAATCTTCATTCTCGCCTCTTTGAACGCTATCAAAAACGCTATTAATCCTCATGCTAAAGATTTCTATTTTCAAATAGATTTCCACTTCTTATGGAGACACTGTAAGTACATGAATTCGCATGGAGTTCAAGAGACTCTCTTAGCGCTCTTTTGCTTCCCTGGGAGAGAGATTTCATGAGCAAACACAGTTCAATTAGCGACTCGATTGATTGTTTTCGGGTCAATTAGTGCCTCTAGAGGATTTTTTCGCTCGTCTCTTGCATGAAAGGAGCATGAAATTGTGTCTTTTTTCCCTTCAATTGTACGAACTTTCCGGGCGACAGGACGCGATGCCGAATCATGTGCAATTGCCGGCAATGAGTGGGTGGTGGGGCGGCCTCAAGCACCGTAAACGCGGAGTTGGCGCAAAAGCTCGCTCGTGAAGCTCATTCTCTCTCGGCGCTGTCGTCAGTTTCGTGAGACTATTCGTGCTGTAAAGGTGGATGATTTGGAAGACACACGCCGTGATTGTCTAATTCTCTGTGAAGAATCGAGCTCATTTGCGTTCTTGGCGAATTTCTCAAAGCGCCCAAGAGGAAGAAAAAGTACTAATCGAGATGGTTAATTGCCTAAATTCACGGTGATTCATTTCTATTGTTGATTTTGCACCGCAAAAGAGACTTTGTAAAATAAACTTCCTCAGACTCTATCGTGAATCTGATCGTGTTTGTGTGTGAGTTCTAAATTAGGAGCAAATCACTGTGAATATTTGCGCTGTGTGAAAGTCGCGGAAAAGACGGAAAATGATGACGATGGTGGAAGAATCATCGATTGATTTGGGTCTGGATTCTACGACGCCATCAGAATCAACAACACCCTCGCATCTTGTCACTGTTAATGAGGATATTCAAATAGAAACACCCGAAGAGAGGTTAATATCACAGCTTTTTCCTTGGCGTTCAGCCAAAATGTGCCACAAGTTTTCCGCTGTAGCACAGAATCTTCGCGCACACGGCTATTTATCTTGCCTCTGAAGATGCGATAATGCGAATTTTCTGCGTTGTTTTCTTTTCACAATTCTCAAATAATTACACTTTACATATACGAAAATTGTCTATAATGTTCTCCACACATTAAAGTGGAGGGAGAGAATACAAGGTAGCGAAAAAACATATGATCAAATTGAGCGCTCACCTGAAAAGAGAGGAAATACACCTCACATTCGCTTCACTTTGCAATTTCAGGTGAATTTCCTGTGAGGAATTTCCATTCGGTTTCTTCATCAGTATATTTTTCAGAATTCATTTTCCATCACAACTCGAAAAAAATATGAATTAACAATTCGTTCTGACCGCACAAAGTGAGAGCGAGAGAGCGAGAGAGTGAGAGAGGGAAAATGTATAGAAGCAATTTTAACGATTAGTCAAGAATGAAGAGAAACTGAGTGCGTGCATGGAGAGCTAATCTTGGGCATGAAAATTCTTCTATCCATTGTTAATGCAGAGTTTTCCATATAAAGAAATCATTGAGCACAGAAAATACACACACTAACTTTTTCAGTAGATTTCTTTAGTCGATCTTAGTCTAAACGCGATTTATTGGGTCAAGTCAATTGCATGCAACTTGCCTTTAAATGATTCATGCCTCATAGAAAATACATTTCGGAGTGATGAAATAGTGAAAGGCCTTTTCATATTATTTCACTCACTCTTATGTTGACAAATGTCTGAGAAGACATATTTCACATGATAAATTCACTGTGCGAAGTTCACAGTCAACAATTTGTTACAAAATCTTCATGTTGCTATGGTGAATGTCTCATTTTTAGTCATTTGGATTTTATCATTCATGATGCTATATGTAGATATGTGAGTGAAAAACTTGTGCAAATTGCATAAGTGGACACCCTTGAACTTGACAGATTACTTTTAATGCTTTTGTATATCACAATATTGCTAAAGAGTTGAATATTTGTAGTGAATGAGAAAATGCCAGCAACAAATACGAGGAAAAAAAATGCTCTTTTCAGTCTTGCAATGAGAGGAGAAATTGCATTTTCCATTATTTATTTCTCACTCCGCGTTCTTTAGCAATTACTTTAATATTTATCCAACTTGAGCAATCATCGGGTGAAATGAACAACTGAGTATGGAGAATTTTGTATGAAGTGAATTGGGTCAATTTGGAGTAAATTGACGTGTGACCCTTGGCCTACATTGCAAGACACTGAAAAGAGAGCAGAACCCTTTGAATAATTGATCACACGATTGACTGTAGTGCTAACGTCCTGTCCTATGTCTGTCTTGCAGGTACGAGAAGCTCCTGCGCCGGGCGCGCACGGAGGATCTGTCCGAGGTCTCGGGCATCGGCTGCCTCTACCAGAGCGGCGTGGATCGCCTCGGGCGTCCGGTGGTTGTCTTCTGTGGCAAATGGTTTCCCGCGCAGAATGTGGACCTCGAGAAGGCGATGCTGTACTTGATCTACCTCCTCGATCCCATCGTCAAGGGCGACTACGTGATCGCGTACTTCCACACTCTCACCAGCTCCAACAACTATCCGTCTCTCCACTGGCTGCGAGATGTCTACAGCATATTGCCATACAAGTGAGCATTTCCCCAAAAACCCCCGAAAATCCCCTAAAACGCGATCGGAGCGTGGAATCATTAACTGATTATTGTTATAGTGGTTTTTTGCACCAACCAAAATTCAATTTGCCCACCAAAAGAGGGTTTACAAGTCGTGTGAAATAAATATTTATAGCGGTTCTCATGGCTCACACCCAAAGAATCGGGTAATTCGAACATGCGGCAAAATAATGGGTTGAATAGCAAATGCTGTCATGTGATGGAGCCTTGTTAGAAGAATTTAATCAATATAATGTACACACTCAGGCTGAAATCGCAGATTTGGTTTCATATTCCACTGTTATGAATTTAACATTGTATTTCAGTTGACTTGAAATTGTTCATTATCAAGTAAATGGTCGCATGCAACTTTGCAGATCTTATCTTAAAAGGAAAGTTTGTCGATACAACCGAACAATAAGATGTCAACTTTATACATTTTTAGATAGTTTCTATTCTAAAGTAAATCTAAGCAGAAGATTTTGTACATAAATACAAAATGCAATGATTTACGTGATGATTTGTATTATAATAAGAATCTTGAAGTCCAAACGCCTTTTCAAAATAAGAGATTTGGTATTCAAGAGTAGTTTTAGTGAAGAATAAGACTTGGATTTTACTTCTAAACACATTTCTTCATGAAGAATTAATAAGGCAGTCGATGGTTAGTTTTGACAGATTGTAATCTTGTCTACAAAATGAGAGTTTTTCTAACAAATTGAATCTGTTAAGAACCAAATTAACTCTCTGATTAATGTGTGAATACACAGATGTTAGAATCAGACGAATTCTGTGAATTGAAAATTCAACATATAGTTAAAAATGTCTATAATTGTGAGTCTTCTTAAGTCACCAGACAGTTTTTAATCAATTTTGTCTTCTGCTTCAGATACAAGAAGAACCTGAAGGCCTTCTACATCGTTCACCCCACATTCTGGACTAAGATGATGACTTGGTGGTTCACGACGTTCATGGCGCCCGCCATCAAGGCCAAGGTTCACTCCCTGCCAGGCGTGGAGCATCTCTATGCCGCCATCACCAGAGATCAGCTCGAGATTCCCGCTTACATCACCGAATACGATATGACGGTGAGTTGCATTGCATCAAAATTAACGCCTGAAGACTGATTTTGTGATCTCTTTCCGCGCAGATCAACGGTCTTCACTACTTCCAGCCCGAGACGCAGACTTCGCCAGCCTCCTAATTGTCCGCGAACGTCGCCTACGTCTAAGTTCTCCAAGGAGTTGATTGCAAGAAGAGTGCTGCTGCTCTAGAAGATATGATATAAATATTTAGCCTAAGTCGACAAGAGCGATTGTAGAGAATGTGGCCAGGCTAATTAGCTCTGAAGTAATAAAGTATGTAGATGTAAACATTGCGCAAATTCTCTGTGGTAAAAGAACAGGTGAAAGAATCAAATGTAGGTAGACAGATGAAATAAAATAGCGATGATGCGCGAGACGGGATATTTACAATTATTATTCTTATGAAAGTCATAAAAAGAAACAATTATAGCGATAATATTGCATGCATATTTTCTGCTAGATCAATTTTCAACACATCTCTCATTGTAAAGAAATATTGTTGCATGTCTTATTTCCGATCTTGTAGACTTAAGATTATAGAGGTGATTTTATTGAACAAAAATGTTTCTCCCAAAAAAGATTTTTGAATATTTAGGTGAACAAAAAAGAAATGGAAATTTGTAGTGTATGATATTTCATTTGTTACGTCCCTAAAGTGCCTAATAGGATTATTTTGCTTGTATAAGAAAAATTCGTATAATTAGAACGTTCTGCAATCACTATGTTGATTTATTGAAAATTGATTTAGGGAAGAAAAACCATTAGATAAACAGTGAAATGAAATTTATTCCCATATGCTTAGTAATTAGTCCCTAAAAGTTGACATTATACCGTAGTTGGAGAATACATTTAGTGCTAAAGGAAAAATTTTGAGGAGAATTCTATCGTTGTTGATATAAATAACAAAGAGAATACAAGTTACTAAAAGACTATGCGGAGTGAAGGTCAATAAAGTTAGAACTTCACGAAAGAAAAACATTTGAGGAGGAGAAATTTGTTAAATAACTATATATATATATTGTAACTATATAACTCCTTAGCTAAGGTCATTTCGCATTTCTCGTGCCAAGTTAACCGTCATTTTGAAAATTTGCATTATACTGAGCTTTCCCCCAATGAACTCATCCTCTTTTATCCACACTTTAGCACCACCGCAAATAAAAAGAAACTCACACACAAACACACAGAATAATCCTCAAAAGATTTAACGAGAAAACCACCTGAGATCAACGTATTTTCTATACATGTACATTTTAAACGGGAAAGGATAACATTTTAAAGGACGTCACTGAAACAAATCCGCGATGTACAAAAGGAGAAACAAGATGTGAAGCATATTTTTTTAGAGGGTCATTAAAGCAAAGGTATAAAATCCAGGAATGATTGCAAAACAAAAAAACTTGATAGGAATGCTTAACAAATATTTGTAAATAACAGGGTATAGAAATTATTTTCAGTCGAATTTTTCTCGAATATTGCGCGGCTTCATCACTTTTTATTTTAGAAATTTCATAAACAATATATGAAAGCAATTCCAGTTGAATTAGTATTCGAATAGTGAAGGAGAAAAGCTACAATATGGTTGAATATTGAATTAGGAGGAAGATTAATACTGAGAAGAGAGATATTTTAACATATATAGCATACGTTTAGAGGTGAAGTTATAATAAAGAATTTGGCAATCGTTTGGCGAGTGTGATTTAATATTAAAGATGGTAAACTATAGCGTTATCACTAACTCTTGTAAATAGCGTCTTTACCTGGTTAATTCCATTCTACTTGTAAGAATATTATGAGGGAGAAGAGTTGCATTTTCACGTTATTGGCTAATTGTAGAATCTCAGAGTTTTGTTAATAAAATATTGAACTCTCTAGACATTCTGGGCCTTTCTCATTTTCTTATCAAAATCGCCGAGAGTTTCTGCAATTGCCAATATCGGTGTGCGAATTCTGTGAAGATAAACTTCATGTAGTTTAGTCGAGAGTGTCAGAGGAGGTGAAAAAAAAATATAATAGAGAGAAGAATTATATAACAGAGTTGCGGATTAATAGACAGAGAGAAATAAATTTGTTCAGTTATCAAAGATTGCAAAATCTCGACTTTTACTTGATCATCAGCAGCGAATTGTGTGCAGAAACTGGATTCATGGCAATCGTGATGTGTTTTGCTGGTCCAATATTGCTGAGTATTTGCTTCTCGACAATCTGCGATAACCTTATCACCGAAATTTCCAACTCGCCGAGCGCTGGACACGCAATTATCAGTGTGTTTGTCACCCTGTTTGAACTCCCATCGATCTCGGGATTCGAGGGCTGGTCAGTGTGCCTCTGCTTTCAGTGCTAGTCCGGTGCTTTCAGTGTTCAGAGCGCTCCTCACGTCTTTTCGCCTGCTTCCAATCGTCTATTTTTCGTTCCGTGATAAGAAATCCCACTTTATTGCTCTGTGTGATTATTTGTTGAGGCTCGCGCTCTTGGGTGTGACCAGTCGCTTTCCATCAATCACTGGCGCTCGTGCAAAGCTCTGCAGCATGAAGATCGAGTGGGCGCCGCTCAACGTGCCCTTCCACCGGCGCATGGAGACACTCGCGGCGGCGGCGTGGATGGCCCTCATCCTCTTCGGCGAGCTGGTCATCCTCTTCATCTACCTGGCGCTCCTCGTGAAGGGCAACATCTACATTCAGACGCTGTGCGTGATTTACTTCATTTTCCTCTACCAAGACCGCGGAGCGGGCGAAAACGGCGGTCGAGGTCAAGGGTGAGTCAAGACAATTCCCTTTGTGCCCAAGAGATTCCAACACTTTCAATTGTAATTTCGCGTGGAGAGATATAAAAATATCGATTAAAAATGAGTAAAATACTTTTATGGCTTTCACAATAGTGACTTTGTGTAGAATTAGCATTTTCTAATAACTCATTAGCATTTAAAGAACATAATAATTTGATATTGCAAATGGATTTGAGTTAATTATAGGATTTTCCTCAAGATTAACGCAAATGTTTTTACAAAACCTACCGGATTTCTTATCACTTTCCAATGATTACACACATTTCACATCATTAGAAGATGAATTTAATTCGCAATGAATTATCAGCCATAATCTCTTGTGCTTTTATCGACAGTTACTAGAAAACACGAACGGTGGAAGGTCATTTTCTCCTTCTGGATATTGATTTACACACTGTTTGTAACCTTTGGCGTCTTCTTTTCAGGTCGAAGTGGCTGAGAAATTGGACTTGGTGGAAGTTGTACAGAAATTACTTCCCCGTTGAACTTGTGAAGACCGTCGATTTGCCCGCCGATCGGAATTACTTGCTGGCGGCCTTCCCGCACGGACTTCTGAGGTAACATCTTGAGCCCAGAAGAAATCTCCACGGAGAAATACCCAAGATAAGATTATTCACTTGATTTGTTGCCCAGCTCAATCCTCCTTTTCCCTTTCATTCACAAGTTGTTGGGTGGAAAAAATGAGGAAACACATTAATCGAAGAGTGAAATGTTATCAAGTTCAATGCATTGACGGTCTGTTTGCATTGGATTTCTTGGTTCAAGTTCGAGTGGCACGGAGAGATTAAATTTCAATAGGGCGTGTGTCATCAAGGGGTTATTTGTCGATAAAGACTTTCCTCGCTCTTTGTGAGTAATCTATTTATTGATTATTTAATATTCAAGAGAGCCCCAAATCATGGCTTTTCCTCGTCCAATAAAAGCATAAAGTCATTACGTTTGTGGGAATGTGATGAAATTTCTCACAATATTATGATTTTTGATGTGTTGTGATAATTACGATCTTTACCCTCTGATTTGGGCACGCGAAACTAGAGACGATAATGAAAGCGTATCAATCAAACTAAATGGACTATTTGTGGATATGTCTTATCAAGTGCCTTGGCCCTGTAGATAAGAAATTTCGCGCATTTTCTTCATGTTGTTTCACTCTTTCTTCGCAGTTCGGCCGCATTCACTAGCTTCTGCACTGACACCACAGGTTGGCCTAAGCTCTTCCCCGGCGTTCGCGCCAAACTGGTCACTCTGGGCTTCCACTTTTACATCCCCATCTTCAGAGAGCTGCTCCTGAGCTGGGGTGAGTCGACATTCCCGTGGGGAAGATAATCGGGCTTGTATTTGTAATTAAATTGCGTTGATTCTTATCCACCAGGAATGGTCTCAGTGTCCGCTAAGAGTCTCCACACGCTTCTGACCTGGTCCAATGACAAGAACCACCCAAAGAACTACGACGGCAACACTTCCACAGCTTGCGTGATCGTTGTTGGCGGCGCCCAGGAAGCGCTCAACACGCGTCCGAACAACTATCAGCTGGTCCTGAAGAAGCGCAAGGGATTCGTGAAGATGGCTCTGAGGACAGGGACGTCTCTGGTTCCCGTGATGTCTTTCGGGGAGCTCGATCTCTTCGATCAGCCCGCCAATCCGCCAGGATCTCTGCTGCGTCGCTACCAGGAGTTCGTGAAGAGAGTCACCGGAATCGCGCCAGCCAAATTCATCGGACGCGGCTTCTTCCAATACAGCTACGGCATGATTCCGCGCCGGAAGCCGCTGACGACGGTGATCGGGGCGCCAATTGCCGTGCCGAAGATCGATGAGCCCACGATTGAGGACGTGGAGAAATATCACGAAGAGTTCTGCAAGGCGCTCACGGACCTGTTCAACACGCACAAGACCAAGTACATCAAGGATCACGAGAATGTGCACCTGAGAATTGACTGAAAAGCCCCCAAAAGCTGCTATCGAGAAAATTGCTTAAAAGCCAAGCAAGTGACTAGAGTTGCTCATTAGGTGAAACCTGAGATATTAACTTACGCGAGGAAGAGAGACCAAAGTATTTTTCCTCATGTCTCTCCATATCTTCATATACAAATTTACTTAACTATTTAAGGATCTACATAAATTGGGGGTTTTGCAATAAATTGTTTACTGTTGTACACAAAGTATTTTGGTGGAGTTTGTAACACATTTCGGTGTGCACGATTGTCAAACAATGAGGAAATGAAAGAATTGATAAGGGAATTTGGTGAAGCGTTGAACTTTTGTTGACATTTTTCAACACGCTCTTTAGTGGTTATGCACAATCCTCATATTTATCAGCAATTGTATCATTAATACAAGATTAAATTGAGATCAAATCAAGAAACAATGTACAATTCTTAGGGAAATGTTAGACAAGGCATAGTTTGGAAGAATAAACATTTTTACAGAATTTCTTGTCTCAATTAATTACAGGTAAGCTTAAATGCCTTTTCAACTCCATTTTCATTGCATTTGCATACAAATTTTCCTACACAATCGATTGACTTTTATTGATTCCAAAGAACCCTCCAGTTTTCAGTGTTCAAGCAGACATGTGATACAGTTAGATCCCGGTGATAAAATAAATCCACTGTGGAGTGTATGACGAGTGACAAGGGGCTTGTCTGTGTCGTTCCTCAGTCGCCACATCAAGTGTCTCACTTACTCACGCGATTGTAAGGTTTCCTCAATCTCTAGAAAAATAGAATTCACACGGAGACAAGCCCATATCGAGTCTTGAGAGTCTCACAAAGTCTTCAGCCATCGTGGAGAGCAGAAGTGCCCGACAATGCAGCAATATCCGGAAACGTTCACCAACAACATTCGGGAGAATCCCGATGTGTCCATTGTTGGTGGTGGGCTCGTGGGCTCCTTGCTAGCCCTGCACCTGGGCAAGAAGGGCTATCAGGTGCATCTGTACGAGTTCCGTGACGACGTCCGGACGACTGAGTTGATTGGCGGCAGGAGTATCAATCTGGCGTTGTCCGTTCGAGGAAGAAAAGCTCTGGCGGCGGTTGGTCTGGAAGATGTAATTCTGAAACACGCAATCCCGATGCGTGGCCGGATGATCCATGATCTCAACGGCAAGCGCCGAATTGTGCCCTACGATAAGACGAAGAATCAGGTAAATAATATCTCTTTCCGTGTGTGTATTAAAGAAAGTGTTAAGCAAATTGTTATCTTTCGCAGTGCATTTATTCCGTGGGTCGCAAATATTTAAATGAGGTCCTTTTAAACGGTAAGTTTTCTATCCAATCCAATTTATTACGCTCATAAGACTTCATATCATATAGTGTCGCGACAAAGTCGTGACTGTAAAATGATACTTTAAGATACATGTGCTGAAAAAATGTCTCTGAAGTAGGTTTTCAAGTATCGCATGCGAATACTTCGAGAGATAATTTGAAATATTTGAGCTTTTATCGAAAATTACTCACACAATTTTTCTAACAAGAAAGTATACGAGAAAGTACTAAAATACCTTTCTTATGTAACTTCTTGTGATGCAAAGGATTATTAAACAAACCTAACGTGACAGTTGAATACAAGATGTTATGTACATAAGATATACATACATCCATTCTTTTTCTTTCAGCTTCTGAGCGCTATCCAAATATACATCTGAATTTCAACCATAAACTAATGGACATGCGTGTAGAGGAAACTCAGATGACTTTTAAAAAGTAAGGTCACACTGTGGCATTACAATAAGACATGACCTGATCTTTCTCTGTATCCTTTCAAGTCCAAAGACCGATGAAGTTAAGGAAGTCGCAACGGACATGATCATTGGCTGCGACGGAGCCTTTTCGGCGGTTCGACGCCACATGATTTCACGCCCGGGCTTCGATTTCAGTCAAACCTACATCGAACACGGCTACTTGGAGCTCTGTATTCCGCCCACGGCTTCCGGAGACTTTGCCATGCCTCACAATTTCCTGCACATTTGGCCTCGCGGGAAGTTCATGATGATTGCGCTGCCTAATCAGGATAAATCCTGGACAGTGACGCTGTTCATGCCGTTTGAGAACTTCGATATGCTTCAAACTCCGAAGGATCTGCTGGATTTCTTCGGGACGCATTTTGCAGATTCCATTCAGCTTATTGGGAAGGAAAGACTCATAAAGGACTTCTTCAAGATCAAACCACAAACTCTAGTGATGATCAAAGTGAGTTTAGCTGTACAGATTGCCTCTGAATTGTATAATAACAACTGTTGCATATCCTTAGTGTCGTCCTTATCACATTTCCAACAATGTCCTACTCATGGGCGACGCTGCTCACGCCATGGTGCCCTTTTACGGCCAAGGGATGAATGCTGGCTTCGAGGATTGCTCCATTCTCAGTGAAATCCTGGACCGATCGCCCAATATGGACTTCTACTCGGCCATCAGGGAGTTCTCAGCGAAGCGCTGGGAAGACGCTTTTGCCATCTGCGATCTCGCCATGTACAACTACGTCGAGATGCGCGACCTGGTGAACCGCAGGAGTTACCTGTGGCGCAAGAAACTCGATGACTTCCTCTTCTGGTTCATGCCCAACACTTGGATGCCGCTGTACAACACCGTGTCCTTCTCCCACATGCCCTATCGCAAGTGCATCGAGAACCGCGAGTGGCAGAACAGAGTCCTCAATTGGTCTATGGTGTCCTTAGCAGGAGCAGGACTCGCTGCAGTGGCCAGTGGAGTGGCTAAGGCGGTTTGGTACCCGTAAAACTCCACGTAAACACTGGGAGAAGTTAAAGCTTTTAATACAATCCATGCAATCTCTAATAAACAAAAAATCTGGGTGAATGTGCGTCTTCACTAAGCTTTTAATTTTTACAACCCTCATAAATAATTTGTACAACAAGGTATTCAACTTTGCTCAACTGTGTCAACAAGCAGTTTATTGTCCAAAAAAGTTCAGAAACAATACGTGAAAGATAATAATTTATTCTTTCCAAAAATGTATATAAATAAGACGTGCTGAACTATGCGTACTTTCATACGCGAATTTCTATAATGACATGCGTTTTTTTACCATATTTAATTTCAGATAAAGTTCCTGGAAATATATAAGTAATCTTCTTTTTTTCACGTTGATTTATAGGAATATAGAAAGAAATGCGTAGGTATGCATGCAGCGTTAAACCATTTTACGTAAAAAGCAAGGTTAAATAATAGTTTATTTATTTTTTGCTTTTATTCTAAATACAGTCTGAGAATAATGCAATAAATTTGGAGCTTTAGCAGTACGTTAAAGCTTAAGTGACTAAATAATGTTGGTCACCTTAAGAATCTCGAGCCTAAAGCCACCAAGCGTCTGACGATGGTGCTCTCGTGCGATCGATGCGGATTGTGCGTGAATTTCCTTGCTGATTCTCGTGATGGTATTTTTAGGCTGACGACCGATCACGAACGGTCGAGAGCAACAAGTCGTCGCCCAAATTAAATCAAGAATCGGTGCAAATTCCCACTCGGTCAGTCACGAGCGGACTTGTGTGAAAAGCGGAACTGGCTCTGCACAGCAACACATCGATCGTGTGTCCATTTTGTCCGCCGGAAAATTCTGCTGCTCTCTTTTTATATCCAAGTCTCGCGCTTTTCTCTCTCTCTCTCACACACACTCTCTTTTCCTTTCTACCTCACACGTATTTCCGTCCACTCAGTGCCTGAGCTCCGGGAAAAAGCGAGGTGAAGTGTGATCGCGAGTGGATCACCCGTGTTAGGACACACTGTGAAAAAAGGGGGAAAGTCGGCCGATAATGATCTTTGCGCGCTCGAGATGGTCATCAATTTCGCTGGTGTGTTTCCTATTGGCAGTCGCTGCATTTCCGGGTTGTGCGTCCGGTGCCAAGAGCAAAAGTGCTGATGCCGCCAAGGCGCCGCAGCCCGCGCATCCGGCGGATCCTGTGATCGAGGAAGTCACAGCCAAGCAGTTGGAGCGGATTCTGCAGGAGAAGGATTATGTGGCCGTATATTGGTGTAAGTGTGCTGTGATATGTGATCACTTGTGCCTTGGCTCAAGCTCAACGGAAGCCATTTTGGATTGTGTGCGGATTTTTGCCCGAAAAGTGTCACGCACGCGAGAGCCTGAGCGAAGCGCTTTATCTTGCAAGGAGTACACTCGATTACATAAGTGAGCAGTCTCGATGTTGATCTCAGGGGGATGAAGTGGCTCTATTCGGGGTCGTTTCTCACTCATCACCCTGTGAGTTGAATGTCGTTGTGTGCTGAAGACGATCGTGTGGCGATCGCGTTCGAAAATAGATCAACTATCCCATAAATCCATATGAATTCCTCATTTGTCGTCTGGCGCAAACATTAAAAATCCCCCAAAATCGATCATTGTGCAACTGGTGCAATTTCCACGCTTCATTTATCTCCTCTGATCTGGCAGATGTGATTTTCCGCCAAAACTTCAAGCTCTCTCATTCAATTAACGCACCTTAAATAGCACCAAGAATGAGTTCAAATTGATTGTGTGTGCGCCGTATTTCTCCATTTGATGAGGATCGCTGATCTCCTTTCCGCTGCAAATGGCGAAGAAAGTGTGTAATCCTGATGAGTGTGGCGTATTTTTAGAACACACTTTTCACATTCGCGAGGGAAAGCGGTGTCTTCTGCTACCACATTTCACTCTCAACCATACCTCAATGCGATCTCTCTTGACAAGATCGCATCAATGAGGCTTGATATTAAGAATGTCCAGCGCACTCACGAGGATTCGCTTTGGGCGCTAATGGCCTCTGTCTCTGCTCACACACGCGGCTATAATTAGTTTAACGTCCCTCTCCCTCCCACATTCTTAGTGATCTTCAACCGCTGACTGTGGGCTTCAATTGTACATAATGTACGGCCAAGGGGGAGGTAATGCGACTGAAATGTGTACACCATCTTCTTGTCAATTCCACAATTTCCTTGAGGAGTCACAGACGCTTACAGAACTTTGGCAGTGCGTCAAAAAAACGTCTTTTTCTGTTCTTTCCAATTCCTGTAAATCGTGCAAAGTAAACGCTCAGCATAAGTTTTCGGTTAAATTTTGGTAATTGTTCGAAAACCTCTTAAAATCAAGTGGACGTAGCCTAAGAAAAAAGATAAATTCCAGTTAAAACGCAAGCATTATTGATTTTGGTCGCTACTTAGTGGCTAAATCTGGGTTTACGACCACATAATCAAGAGAAGCATTAAGATAAATCTCTCTGCACTGAGCTAAGCAGTTCAACACAATATCTCCCCCTTGTGTACACGACCAGTTGGAGAAATAGTTCATAGATAAAGTTCTGACTAAAAATACACATTCGCTGAGTGTTTGCAGATGGCTGACCACTGTCAGGATATTGTGAGACTCAAATAACACACCTTCACCGGAGAAAAATGCTCACCCTTCGCGGTGTCCCAGATGTTAGTGCAATCGTGTGCACCAGACGAGTTCAAACAACGGTGTTGTAGTTATTCGAATACCGAGACTTTAGTTGAAATATTTTGGCAAGCAAACGCACATTCGATCAACAATACTGAGCCACTGCACATGAGCACAGACTTAAAGTGCATCTCGTAGATCATTTCAGAATAATTGTGCTATTACACGCAAATTAGGAGGTGTGCCAGCATCACATGGAATTTCTATTCGAATCCACGCGTTGTGATTTATTGGTAAACTTTTGCCGCGGAGAAAGCTCTGCCATGTCCTTGTGATTGAGACAATTTCATTGAATATATGTGAAATCATGTTTTTACCTCTTCAATCTCTCACTTAGGTGCGACTTAATGAGACATGTGGAAGAGTGTTGAAAATGTTGACATACTTTCTGCCTCCATGCGAATCGATAATTCTCTATTTTTGTCCTTCCGTCAAAATATCATCGTCCTTCCACTCTTCGAGACTCCCTCGCGCCCAAACTCTTTCGCCATCACACACCATAAGTTTAACCTCCAAAGAGGCGATGGCAATGAAAGTTGGTCCAAAATAGAAAATAGACTAATAATTCGCGGCATTAGTCATCACTTTTCCCACCTAAGCTCTGCTTTACAGCATTCCTGCTTTAAAATTCATTTATTTTTCTTCGCACAATCAAAGCCTTTGCGATAGTTTCCTCAAAATCAAGCGTAGAATTGACTTGCCCTCTCGGCTCAGATTCAACACATCTCTTTGACCAACAATTATGTATTTTTAATGCTTGTGGCGCTATATTTAGCTTTGCCCCTAAATTCTCTGGTAAAGTGTTGAACTTCTCAAACTTTCAATGCTGCAAATCATGTGAATATTGACGGGAAAGAGTTTTGCATTTAACCCTATTATGCAATACTCTGTCAGTCAATATTGCCGCAAAGGAGCAGTGATTCTAATTAACGCTCGATGACTGTATTGCAGAGTGATTGCCTTTACTAGAAAGCGCAGAAACTTTCCTGCAAAACCTTGAACCACTGATGCAATTGTGTCCCTGACGCGAGAGAACTTTCTCGCGTCTCGAGATTGAAATGATTAATGCATTTCAATTTCAAGATCACTCGAGAATGTGTCTGTGATGTCACTGTGACTCCCCTAAATAAATTTGAAAGTTAATTTGCATTAATTTGCAGATGGGTTTAGGCCAGAAATTATTAATCTAACAGCAGTGAGACTCGCCGAGCAATTGAGTAAATTGAGCATTTCTCAGCGTGTTGTGTGCGACAATTTCTGTCGCGCACGCTATTTTGAGCGTTTGAAGAAAATTGTGTGGGAATATCAGAGATTATCTTGTGTTTTCCAACACAAAAGAATTCAATCGAAAAAGAATTTAGCCTAAGTCACCGGAAAATTCACCCGAAAACACTCTTGAAGCGCTTACAAGGTTTTTGGGTCTAATTTTTGGGTTGCAGCTCAATAACAGACGTCATATCCGGTGGAAAAACGACGTTTTAAAACCCACTTTGCTCTGTTTTATGTATTAAAACACCAACACACCAGTGGAGGCGCCTGGTGTATGTAAATCCGCAACGTGTTTCTGAGCTTACGACACTTCTGCATTCCTTTAAAATAATTTTTTTATGTAATTTAATTTGTTCCCACTTTGCCAGGTTGAAACATTCTTTCTGTTAAAATTGATTTTCTAGAAAAACACCTGGCGTCTCCATCACGCCAAGGGGAGGCGTCTGGTATTTAATGGTTTCTATGCATTTCAATGTAATTCGGCTAGGAAATCACTTGAATTTGCAACCAAAAGTTTGTATGAAAGCCAGAATGAGTCATTTTCTTTTTTACAGATGCACGAAGTTGTGTGACTTGCGACAAAGTTTTAGCCGAACTCGAACAAATCGACGATGACACCGATTCTTTCGGTGTGGATTTTGTTAAAATAAACGACAAACGACTGGCCAAGCAGTATGGCATTAAAAATTTCCCAGCTCTCACTTACTTCCGGTGGGTTTTTATTCTTTTCATCAAAGAAATTCGCTTGAGAATGTCTATAAATTTAATGACTTTCTCTCCAATTCTTCAGTGATAAACTGCCGATCATTTTCGATGGAGACATCATGGACAGTGAAGCTGTTCTGGATTTCCTCACATCATTGGAAGCCATGGATCTCCCGGATCGAATTGAGGAGGTGAATGCGAAGATTCTCGAGAAGATCGTTGAGGACACTGACTACATTGCTGTGCTCTTCTGTGAGTATCCACTTGTCACATTAATTCAACCAAATTGAATCTAAATATAATCTTTTTTGATTATTTTTGTGTCTCTGAAGAAGAGGAACTGTAATTTCCTCTAAGAGAGAAGAAGAATTCTTATTCTTTCAATGACAATAAGATGTTTTTAGCAATTTATTTTATAAAGTTGAGATGAAAATTCTCAGATACTTCACAAAATGAGTTTTCGCGCAATGTTGGAAAGAACAAGAAGAAATATGAATTTGCTACATTTATACGTTTATCATTCCCATATAAAATATTAAACTAGATTGATTAGATTGTGAATAACAGCATATTTATGCCACTTTGTCTGTCTGATATTTAGAGGACTCTTCTCTAATTGTTTTTATTTCTCATAAACTTTCTCTTTTTCTATGATATTTTATTCTCTTTTGTTTGTTTAAATCATCAAACTTAATCTGTGTGTGTCTCTCGTTATCTTGTATGGTTACACCAAAAAAATATGGATCGTCAATTAAAATATTTGTTGCATAATCTCCATGTACTGTTGCTAATGTATGACAAAACAAGGTCCAGAGCACAGTACATGTCCATCAGGACATGGAGGAATGTCGAGTAAGTGTCAATGTTCACTTCCCATCTCTTTCCTCCTAATTTTAACTCCTAATCACGACTCTCTCCCTCTCTATCTCTCTGTGTTTCCGTCATCGTCTTGTCGTGAGCATTGCGAATTTGATCAAATGCACAAGCACACAATTTCTCCACCATCACAGCAGATGAAAGTTGCTCAAAATTCTTTACAAGACATTAGACTATCACAACTTTCATGTGTTTCACTTGCACAACATTTTTGCCTTTTCCTCTCCAAACAAAAAGTGTCTCTATAGATGAATATTTAAGTGAAATGCAGCATTAGAATTTCGTAGGACAAAGTCATTGTACAGAAACTAATTTTAATTCATATAATGTATGAATAAAATGTTGCAAAATGTACTGGCAAAAATCCAATAGTGATTAATTGTTCCGTCTGAGTTTTCTCAATTAGAGATAGACGCACACACGAAAACCTGTATAAATAGACTAGATTCTTTCAAATCCGTTCAAGAACAGCAACCAATTAAATGTGAACCTGATGGAGTGACTGAAATTTCACTCAGTTTGAAGTTAATTGACACGATTGGATTTCATATGGATAAATATTTGCAAGATGGTTTACCGTGCAGTAAAATTTCATTAACATTTCTCTGCCCATCGCTCTCTCTCGCTCTCTCTCTCTCTCTCTGCGGGAGAAAATCCACCGCAACAGACTGTGTCGGTTTGCTCGTGTCTCTGTTTGCATGGCTTGACTTCTCATATCTGCCTATTTTTGTATCTGACCTCCCACCGCCATGTGGGTGGCATTTTCACCTCCTCTGCCGCTCTGTTTGTCTCTCCTGACCACGTAATTCACGCGCCAAGCCACCTTCGCTCTCGCGAGGCACTATAATATCCTACAATCTCTGTTTCCGGCGCGCACCCACAGATAAGACCGAGTGCAGGAAGTGCGCCAAAGCTCTGCAGGAGTTGGAGAACATCGATGACGAGGCGGACCAACTTGGGATCGGCTTTGTCAAGATTCACGACGAAGACTTGGCGGATGAGTACAATTTGGGGGCGCTGCCGAAACTCGTCTACTATCGCCACCAAATTCCCATCATCTATGAGAGTGAGTCGAGAGCTTTTCGTCTTAAGTACACTTTGTGAAGCTCTTTCCCGCCCATTCAGATGAATTGTCTCGAGAGGAGGATGTTCTCGAGTGGCTGATTGAGAACAAGTCCACAGGAGACGACGAGGACATCATTGAGGACGTCACTGCCAAGACACTCAACACTCTTATAGGCAATGTGGACAATTTAGTAGTGCTGTTCTGTAAGTTATGTCCCTTGGCAGAGTTCCACAAGAAGTAAAAGCTTGACATCTCCTTAAAGATGACCATGGAGAGGAGCAATCGATGACGGTTCTGGAGGAGCTGGAAAAGATCGATGATGACTGCGACAGGCATGGAATTCAGTTCGTCAAGATTGATGACAAGAAAGCCGCCAGAGCCTTTGGACTCGATGAGGTGAGTGACAATGAGCGAATATCTCATGGAGACTCTTACTAAAATAAATTTAATGATTTAGGACGATTTCGAAGTAAGTGGGAATGAGGTTGAGTTTTACGAGAGTCACCCTCCCCTTGAAATAATCGTCTCTTTCTCTCTTAATGCTTCTTCTCACGGGACTATATTTGCCAGTTTATTTATTCTTGCAAACCATATTTTGGGACTGATATTTTCATTGCGCTCTCCATTTAATTTAATACTTCACAGAGTTTCCCCGAAATTGCATGAACATGGCAATTGAGTTTTGAATGATATTCCGTATAAATTATATTTATGGAACTGTTTTTCATAGGTGCCAGCGATTGTCTACTTCGAGAAACAGATACCAAATAGTAAGAAAACCATCTAGAGTATTTCTTTAGGGAGATTTTAAGCGAAAAATCTACTTTTTAGTTTATGACGGCGATTTGGAGGATGAAGATGATATCCTGAAGTGGCTTTTGTCTCGGTTGGAAGAGGATGAAATTGAAGATGTCACAGATGAAATGTTAGATTCTCTCATCAAGGAAGGCAAACAACTGGCAGTTCTCTTCTGTAAATATTTTTACTGTGAATCTTCTTTAAAAAGTGTCTTTAAATGCCTTTTCTATTATATTCAGACGACAATAACGATAGGAAATCGCAGAAAGTGCTGGAAGAACTCGAGAACATCGACGATGAGTGCGATTCGATGGGAATTCTTTTTGTCAAGATTGATAATATCGAGGAAGCGAAGGAATACGGAATTGAAAGAGTGCCAAAGTTGCTGTACTTCGAAAAAGGCATCCCGACTATCTACGAAGGCGCTCTGGATGATGAGGAAGGTCTCCTGAAGTGGCTGGAGTCGCAAACAAGTGCTGATGAGATTGAGGACATCACTGATGAAATGCTGGATCTGATCATCGAGAAAATGGATCACGTTGCTGTGCTGTTCTGTAAGTTTATTGATTTCTGCAGCATTTTTAACAATAACAATGAATTCTCTATCACCTCAGACGACAAGGATCAGAAGAAATCCGCCAAGATCTTGGAAGAACTGGAGAACATTGACGATGACTGCGATCAAAATGACATCGCTTTCGTGAAGATCGACGATGACAACGAGGCCAAGGAATGGGGCATTGACGAACTCCCAACGATGGTGCTTTACGAGAAGGGCGTTCCTCATGTTTATGAGGGTGATCTGCAGAAGGCTGATGAACTCCTTGGATGGCTCATCCATCAGAAGAGACATTCCGAAATCCCAGAAATCACTGACGAAATGAAGGACAAGTTGATCGAAACTTCTGATCACTTAGCAGTCATTTTCTGTAAGTTATTGACCTAGGAAATCTTGGGACGTTTTCAAGCATATAATAATGATTTTATTAGATGACAAGGACGATAAACAAGACATTCGAGTCCTGAATGAATTAGAAAATATCGATGATGAGCTGGAAAAGGAGGGCATCGTGATTGTGAGGATCGATAATGCTGAAGAAGCTAAGGAATATGGCCTGGATCATTTGCCTGCGCTGGTCTACTTCGAAGAGAAGATTCCAAGCGGTAACAAAATGAATATTACCATGTCTATAATATACTCACATATATGATATTTCCTGCAGTTTACCCTGGAGACTTGATGAATGAAGACGAAGTGCTTGAGTGGCTCTTGCTCCAGAAGGAAACTGCATCAATTGAAGAAGTTACTGACGAAATCCTTCAGGAACTGATTGACGAACACGAGTACGTTGTCGTGTACTTCACCGGACCTTGCGAGTCGGGAGAGCGTTGTGACAACTTCCTGGAGGATCTGGAAAACATTGACGATGAACTCGATGAAGCCGGAATCATCTTCGTTCGCACTGAAGATGTTTCCCTGGCGAAGAAGTACAGCATTCGCAATCTGCCACAAGTTGTCCTCTTCCGCAACAAAGAGCCGGTTCTCTACAAAGGCGGTGAAGATGAGGATGAAGTTCTCACTTGGCTGACGGACGAAAATACCCTCGAGATTCCTGGAAAAATTGAGGAAGTGAATGTGAAGATGCTGGAAAAAATTCTGGGAGAAAATGACCACATCGTAGTGTTCTTCTGTAAGTGATGAGCGTTGAGAGTTTGAATAATTGCACAAATCTTACTTTTGGTTAATTATTTTACAGATGAAGAAGGTGACAAGAAGTCTCAGAAAATCATCAACGAACTGGAGAATATTGATGATGAGTGTGAAGAGAAGGATATTGACTTTGTTAAGACGTCCGATGATGATATTCAGGAGGAATATGATCTGCCCAATCTTCCTTGCCTTGTCTTCTACCGCAACAAGTTCCGCACAATTTACAGCGGAAATCTGATGAAGGAGGAGGAAATCCTCGAGTGGGTGCTTGAACTCTACGAATCGCCACCAGATGAGATTGAAACTGTTGATAGAAAGACTCTTCAAGTTCTTATCAATGAAGTTGAGCACTTGGCTGTATTCTTCTGTAAGATCCTTTCTAAATACACTCTTTCAATGCTTGACAATGATTTCCTCCTCTTTGCATTTTCAGATGACGACAAGTGCACCGCGTGTCCTGGAATCCTGGAGGAGTTGGAAACCATTGATGACGACACTGACAAGCATGGAATTCAATTTGTGAAATCTAGCGACGCAAAGTTGGCACACGAAATCGGAATATTCTCCTTCCCAGCCCTTGTTTACTACGAAACTGGCGTTCCAATCATGTATGATGGTAAGAAGACTTTATTTTACTGCACAGAATTTTGATTGTAGAATTAATGCGCCATATTTTTTTTTATTTATTAGGTAATCTCAAAAATGAAAATCGCGTCCTGCAGTGGCTAATCGATCAAAAGAGTAAGAACATTCCAAATTTGCGTTTATATTAATTCCTTTTCAAACATAACATTTAACCATAAACGAAAACTCCCATGAATGACCATGAAGCTGATGATCTCGTGGAGATTGTCTGAAAGTATGCAAAATTTGTTACACAATTGGCTTGAATTTATCCATTAATAACTGATCTATTGGAAAATGCATGAAATTTCCCTTCAGAAAATCCGTTTATTGCAAGAGAAAAAAATAGAAGAAAATGTCTAAAAAGTTTAAAAATAGGCGATGACGATGATGATGAGGATGATGACGAAGATAACAATGATGATGAGGATGATGATAACAACGATGATGATGAGGATGATGAAGATAATAATGATGACGAAGACGACGAAGATAATGATGATGAAGACAACGATGATGAAGATGATGAAAATAACGACGATGAGGATGATGATGAGGATAACAATAATGATGAAGATGATGATGAGGATGATGAAGATAACAATGATGATGAGGACAACGATGATGAAGATGAAGACGATAACAATAATGATGAGGATGATGATGATGAAGATAACAATGACGACGATGATGACGAAGATAACAACGACGACGATGAAGATGATGATGATGATAATGATGACGAAAGTATGGAATTGTTTCCCCGAAAATTCCAACACCGTTTTCGATAAACATTTTACTTCCACATTATTTCCCCATTATTGCTAAAAGACTTTGAATATGACAATTTATAAAAAGATTTAAGAACATCTGATTGACTGTTACTCCAAACATGGTTCTCAAAGAGTGCGCTAAAGAATTTACCACTAACTATTTGATAGATGTTACTTTTTTTCTTTAAGCTGACACAATGTTTTGATTTGGTTGTCTACATGTCAAAATGATAAGGCATTACGAAAAAGAAATCTCTGTAGATGTTATTGTTAGTTGATGGCTAAAGAGAGGATAAAATTACTTGTTCGAAGCACTTTGGCAACGTCATTTGTCAGCATTTCAAAAACATTTTGTCAGTTGATATTAACTTGTGTATTTTTGACTATTTGCTCTTTGGTAAATGAGTCCCTGAAAGATGTCCCATGGTGAATATTTCTGTAGATATTGCTGTTTGCTGGCCAAATGGCGCGCAAATGACACAATAATTTCTTCTTATACTCTATAAAGGCACTAACAGAGTTTGTCGGCTAATATGCTGTACGATCACGAAAGTGTGATCTGAAGAACTTGAAGATAGAGGTGAAAGAAGAAAGCACCCATGCAGGAATAACAATTGAAAGTTACTCTATCCCAACTAGAATTGTATAAGTTTTATTTCTTTTTCACAAAGTTTTGGTTACTCTCTGTATTTCTCTCATTTGTTTTTGCAAGATGAAGAGTTTAGAGACATCCTATATCCTGGACGAAACTGACAAAATGTTTTTGTTATCTATTGTTGAACAGATGACGGATGCTTCTTCGTGGGACTCGGTCACAGCGGAAATGCGAAAAAGGGTTCAAACTACGTTCCCCACGAATACCGACCCTTCCAGTGTTGTCCCACCAAGTTGGAACGCTCCACGAAGGTGCCCAAAATGACGGCGGCCAAAATTGGACACAGTCAGGATAAAAAAAACTCCGGTGGTAGTTTCCAGTTCGGCTCGCCAGATGACAAGGTCGATAAGAAGGGCGGTGCCAAAGCGAAGAAGCCCCAAACCCCACCTACCCCACCCAAGCCCGCCCCCAGTCCCGGCCTGACGAAGAAGACCGCGAAAAAAGACAGCAACGACGACAAGAAGGTGCGCGACCCCAAGTCCAATGCCAAGCAGGCGCTCGCCACCAAAGGCAAGGACAAGAACGTCAAGGGCCAAAAGGGCCTCTTTGGCATCGGACTTAACTGGTGGTGAAGACTTAGGCTTTTTGGATTTAACGAATTGGAGAGGAATGTTGCCGCGCCACCCATTTTAGATCACCTTCTTGAGCTCTAGGAAAGAAAAACTCCCTGCCCATTTTATATATCTCAGAGATGCGTAAAAAGCCGATATAACTTGAAACCTCGTTAGTTCTAAGACTCTAAAAGTCCGGAAGCAGGTTACAGACTCAAGGAAATAACAGTGATGCATTTTGCTCTAAATTTGAAGTATAGTTTTTTGCAGAGAAAAGCACTGTAAATGCAGAAGTAGAGACAAGATTCTAACCTCCGATTTTGTAGGCAAAGAAGCTATTGTGATAGCCAAATTTGTTGAAATCGATTCTCAGCTGGAGAATCACTCAAGACTCTTGTAAATATTGTTGAAGACAGTTTGTTGGAGGATTTGTTGTTAAAGTTGCGAGGAATTGTTGAAGCCTAATGTGAAATTGTTGACACTCTGTTTATTGAATTTTATTTTTTAAATTGTGGTTGTGTTTTAAATCAATAATATTTAAGCTTAAATTATTTTTTTCGCTACGCCTAAAACCAAGTCGCAGTAATTTGTCCATCTCTAGTCATCTTGCACATGATTTTTATTATATTCTTCGACAAGAATTGTAATGGGATTTTCCGCGTAAACATCTAAAAAGCCCCGAAAAGTCGCGAAATTTTTTATTACAATTTTTGGAGAGCGAGAATTATCATTTTCGTGTAGATTTTCGTTCATCATATTTATCATCTCTTCATTGAATTTCTCTATTTTCTCTGTGATTCTTGTAAAAGTCTCGTGAACATAATTCTAAACTTCTACTACTTCATTATACATTTTACAACAAGCGAAGCTCTATCAACTAATTGTACAAAAGCAGTAACCTCATAATTGATATTCTGTACTTGAAATTTCTCTATCTACGTAAATAGTTAAGGAAAAGTCAAACTACCTAAATTCGTATACAATTGAAGAAAAGCATACTTTTAGACGAGTATTGTAGACAAACAAAGATATCTTCTCAGAGTTAAATTGCTAGAATGCAAAATCAGGCATATTACATGAAATATGTACTAACACAAACAGTCAGGATCGTAAAAGCAAAATTAAGAAGGAGAACAGACAATTTGAAATAAGAACTGTTAGACTATATTTTTTCTAATTGATATATTAAAAGAAAACAATAAATTGTTAATATTGTTAACTTTGAAACTTCTTACTTTTATTCTATCACTTCTACTTATTAATCCACTAATAAGGTTCCCTAATTTGGTTCATTTGATACGCAAAACACACGAAAAACGAAAGAAAAGTCCACTGCAGGATGAGGTATGATCAATGTCATTATGTTCTATCGCTGTCCAAGAGTGGATTTCACACAAACTCTTCCTTGGCTTTCTCTTAGGCGACATGGAAGATGAAAGGGAAGTTCTCGATTGGATGGTGAAGCAGAAAACTGACTCCAGCATCCCGGAAATCGATCGTGAGACTCTCTTTGAGTACATCAGCAGCAAGGACTTCCTGGCGGTGATGTTCTGTGAGTTTCTTCATCACATTCCTAAACTGTAATATGATAATCTTTTGGTTTGCCTTTGAAGTCCTCGAAGACAACAACGAAGCCTTCAAGATTCTGCGACATCTCGAGTTGATCGACGACGAAGCGGCTGAATATGGAATAACAATCGTGAAATGCGACGATAAACTCATGGCGAAGAAGTTCGGATACAGAAATCCTCCGGGATTGACGTACTTCCGCAAGGGAAAACCCATCAATTACGACGGTGATCTTGATGACGAGGAAGAATTGCTGGATTGGCTGACAAATCCTGAAAATATGGAGATGACTGATCATATTGAGCAGGTTAATCGCAAAATGTTCCAGAAAATTCGCCAAAATTCGGAATACTTGGCTGTCTTCTTCTGTGAGTATTTCATTCACGCTTGCACATTTGCACAAATCAAGCACAAATTCAAGCACAAGATTAAGCACAAACTCAAGCTTTTGCGCAAATTCTCGAGCCAGAGTAAGCAATGTTTGAAAACGTGAAGTCTCTGAAAGATTTTCATCTTGAAGCTGCTAAAGAAAAGAAAGCTAAATTTGCCAGGTTGTCTGCACTGTTAGTATTGATAATAATGTTAAATTCTCCGTATTATGTGATCTTACCAGACAGTGACGATTGCAAGCAGTGCCCGAGGGTGCTCACAGAGATCGAGCACATCGATGATGAAGCAGATCGCGCTGGAATAGACTTCGTGAAGATCGACGATCGCAAGATGGCGAAGGAAATCGGCGTGTTCGCTCTGCCTGCGATTGTCTTCTACAAGTCAGGCTCTAAGGAGCCAGTGATCTACGCCGGGGACATTTACGAGGAGCAGGACATCCTCAACTGGCTGCTGACGCAGAAGGACCCTGGCGGAGATGTGATCGAGGACCTCGAGGGCGCCAAGCTAATGTCGATGATCGAGGAGTCTGGCTCCTTGGCGATCTTCTTCTGTGAGTATCTTAGCAGTGGAGTGCTGTAGGCAAAATTCATGCCGCACTAATAAATATGAGAGCGTAAATAACCGGAAGCGCTTCTAAACGTTGGAACTAAAGCTAATTACATTAAACCACTTGCCAGGGAATAAGACACAGTGCGACATTTGCAACTCAAAAGCAATGCGAAAAGCTAGAATGAAAAAGGAGCGCGAGCAAAATGCCACAACGCAGACGCCGGCGGGATGTCCAGGTCCTGAGGCTGGACCGTCTCCACTGGAGCATCACGAAGAGGGTATTTGAGTCATTTGTGGGATTTGTGGGTGTTCCCGGTGCGCATCCTTTGACGACTCATCACTTCTCGCTGTAGATTTAGTGACTGGACCTCTAGTCGTAGTTTTTGTCGTAGAAAGTGTGCTCTTCCGCTTTGTTGTGTCTTTGACTTCGTATATCTCATGCCGTTCCCTCCCAGCAAGATTATGGCGGATTAACGGCTTTCTGCTTCTCTTGTAGACGCTGGAGCTGATGAGTGTGAAAATTGCGCGGGAATCCTTGAAGAGCTGGAGAACATCGATGACGATTGCGATCGTCATGGTATAGTTTTCGTAAAGACGAAGGACTTCAGCGTTGCGGAAGAGTACGGCGTTGTGGAGTATCCCGCTTTGGTGTACTTCGAAGATGGAATTCCAAATGTCTTCGAAGGTAGGTCCAGTAAAATAAAGGATCTGTGCAGAGTTTTTTGATTTATATATTTACTTTAAGGTCAACTGCAAGAGGAGGAAGAAGTTCTTCAGTGGCTGATAACGCAGAGAACCGAAGACAGGATAGAACTCATAACGAGAGCAATGTTGGAGACAATGGTGGAAGATACAACTTACTTGGCAGTGTACTTCTGTGAGTCTGAGGGCCATTTCTCAATCTTACTGTTTAATTTTTATTGAATTTTTACTGGCTTCTCACAATTCCCCAAAACTACACCCTCACGTAAAAGATAGACTTTTAGAGTACGTGATTTTGATCCCTTGATTTTTATCCCATGTGACTGAAAACTGTTTGATGTTGAGAGAGGGTCCGGAGCGAATGTTAATTGTGACTTCCCCCTTCGCATGTGCCCCTCCTCCCGACTCTCCAAAGTGCCTCCAAACAGCAAAAAAGCACCAGCCTACTGCAGAACACTCTGCTCACCACTTGCCACCAAAGCCTCCACACAAAACGTCACGAGGGCGCAAGCTAACACGCGCACGCTGGTCACCAAGTACAAGCTGCGAAAGCGTCTCGAAGTGGCCCTCCAAGGTACAACACGAACGCTACACTAATCCGGGGCGGAGATCGCGCTTTCGGTGTTCCGTAATGCCTTTCGAGATGCTGCTTAGCTTTTCAAGCTTCAGAAGTTATGTCCAGTCGGTCCTGTTTGCGATTTTGGAGGGATAGATTTACAGCGTTCGGAAAAACAAACCTTAAATGCATATGTATATAGATATGCTCTGGATTTCCACGTTGAATTAGAACAGAACGTTGATAAGAGATTGAATCGAGGCTATAAGAATAAATAAGAGGAACATTAAAGACTTACTTCCTTCGACTCTAACTACGAGAGTCTAGCACCAGTAGTGACATCTGGTGTCAAGTTTATCCGTTACAATAGTGGGTTTCGATCGTCGCGTTGGATTCTGGTAATGCAATTAAAAGGAAATTAGATTTGCAGTTCAACGTGAAAATTCGCTGCACAGCAAGACTTCCAGAACTTCTACTGTTAATATTTTATTTCCGAGCACTGTATCAAACATAAAATATAGACAAAAATACATAAATTAAATTGAATCATTAAATACAAGAGATCTCGGCCAGATCTTGACGCTAGGTTGTCCCAGAATCCGGGTTCCTTCCTTCTAACCAGAGTGACAAAATCCCAGCTTACCTGACTTCAGGAAGGCGTTGCAGTTTCCTGAAGTTCAAGCATACTTTCAGCATTGAACCACACAATTGGACTTTAGTGGTTTCTCCTCTGCACTAAACAATCTTCAGAGTGCGTGTGTGCGTGTGGATTCCTAATACAATCTATACTGGCATCAATATTAGAGCTGTAAGTCAAGATCTAAGAATATGTGTTCTTTCGTGAATAGATAAGATAAATTGCAACATCTGCGATCAAATCCTGGAAGGATTGGAACTCATAGACGATGAGTGCGATGTCTTCGGTATTCACATGGTGAAGATTCAGGATCCTCAGTTGGCGAAACGCTACTCAATCAAAACCTTCCCAGCTTTGGTGTACTTTAGGTATATTCAATGTTAAAATTCTCTTGAGATTTGTTGCTAACATTCTATATTGCAGGAACGGAAATCCGCTGATCTATGAAGGAGATCTGCAGAATGAAGAGTCAGTTCTCGAGTGGCTCATTGATGACGACAACAGAGAACTGGAAGATGAAATTGAGGAAGTGAATGATCGCATGCTGGAGCGTCTCATGGAAGAATCTTCACTTCTTGTAGTATTCTTCTGTAAGATAGTTTTGTCGTCAGTCTTGGAAGTGCCTTTATTGCTGGTTTCGTTGCAGATGATGAAGATTGCGACGAGTGCGAGGAGATTCTCGAGGAGTTAGAGTTGATTGATGGCGAAGCCGATCTATTTGGAATAGATTTTGTTAAGATCGCCAGTACTGAAGCCGTGGAGAAATATGAAGTTGTGAATATTCCATCACTCATCTACTTTAGGTAAATTAGTCTTAAGAGTTTGGTTAAGCAGGAGAAAATGTCTGACACTTCAAGAACATCTAAATCATTAATTCATTAATGTTTATTTTTCAGGAAACGCGTGCCTATTCTGTACGATGGCGATCTGACTCAGCACGAGAGAATCATAACGTGGTTGACTTCACAAGATGTCTTCGAGATCAAGAATGAGATTGAGGAGGTGAACAGAAAGATGCTGGACAAGTTATTAGACGAGAATGACTTCCTCACAGTGTACTTTTGTAAGAACCCGCAGAAATTTCCGGGAAACAATTACTAAATCGCGTTCTTTGCAGACGAACGCGATGATGATGAAAGCGACGTCGTCTTGGAGAAACTGGAGACCATCGACAGCGAAACGGACAATCTGGACATCACCTTCGTGAAGATGGCCGATCCCAGGTACGCGCGAAAGTGGGGCGTGACGAAGCTGCCGGCGCTCGTATACTTCCGGAAGCGCTTCCCCAGCATCTACAGAGGCAACCTGAAGGTGGAGAGCGAAGTGCTGGAGTGGCTGCGGAAGAACCGCTTCCGACAGCCCGAGCTCAACATCTTCATGTACGCCCTGCTGGCCATCTCCGTGGCCTTCGTCATCTACACCGCCTTCCTGCTGCAGTGCTTCAAGCCGGCGCCGCCGCCGCCCGTCGCCCATCCTAAGCAGGCGTGATAATCCTGCACTGCCCCTATTTTCTATCTGTTCTGCCCGATTTCTTCTCCTTTCGCCATTCGATAAGCTCATCGTCCATTTCGGCTCATCTTCATATTGTATTAATCTCTCTTAATATGAGAGTGTTCTCGAAAATTGGTAAACTAGAAAATGTTAAATCGTAAATTTTGGGTGAAAAGGTTCATATTTGAGGTGAATTTTCTGTACATAATTCGATTATTGAATAAATATACTATTAGGAATATCATGGGTGGAGAATTCTTTGGTCCTCACATGCACGCGTCGGTTGGAAGTATGCGATTCAAATGGTTTTTCGTGCACATTTTTCTTGCAGCTTGGTGCTTGCCGTCCCAGTCGCGCGATGCCCGTGGCGCTGCTGGTGATGCTGTCAGAAGGTGAGAAAAAAGATGGCGAAAGTTTGTGATTTTCCGACTCGAGTGCAAAGCCCGAGGAGTTCTTCAACATAAATAATGGTGAAGTGAAAACTGTGCAGAGTGCTTGGTAGGTAAATGTGCGTGAACTCACGAAGTGTCTGGTGGCAATTGGAGAGAGTGAGAGAGATAAGGAGGCGATAGTGAGTGGCCGTGAGTGAAAAAGTGGGGAGAGAAGTGAAATACAAACACTGAAGACTCCACCAAAATCATGCTTTCATACGTTCAAATGAACGCCCGGAAGTTCTTGATATTGGCATCCAAGATATGGACCTGCATCTGCTACATGTTCAACCGTCAGGTGAGAGCAGTAAGTATCCGCTAGCGGAGTGTCGTGAGCGCGCCCCCATTGATGTGGAGTAATTCAGTTTGTTCAGTACCAGCCCGTCAAGTACGAGCCCTTCCCGCTGTCGCCGGTGTCGCGCCACCGGCTGAGCATGGTGCAGCGCAAGACGCTGGTGCTGGACCTGGACGAGACGCTGATCCACTCGCACCACGACGCCGCGCCGCGCAACACCGTGAAGCCCGGCACGCCGCACGACTTCACCGTGAAGGTCACCATCGACCGCCACCCGGTGCGCTTCTTCGTGCACAAGCGGCCGCACGTGGACTTCTTCCTGGACGTGGTGTCGCAGTGGTACGACATCGTCGTGTTCACGGCCAGCATGGAGATCTACGGCACGGCCGTGGCGGACAAGCTGGACAACGGCCGCAACATCCTCACGCGGCGCTACTACAGGCAGCACTGCACGCCGGACTTTGGCTCGTACACCAAAGATCTCTCGGCGATCTGCAACGACTTAAATAGGGTGAGTCTTCCGGACGCTCATGGCGCGCACTCCGAACAGCTGCAGCCGTGCAGAAGTCCGATAAGCAGCGAAAGAACGCGATAAGAAACGCGCGAGCCGCAGATGGGTTGTTAGGTCACTAGTTTTGAGTTGCAATTCTCCACAAATAGCGTTAAATGCATCAAAATCATGCGTAATTTGACTGCTTTCCTTGCGTGATGGGTGAAATTCAAGTCCACGAATTGAAATTTATTGAATTGTTTTAGCGCTTGAGGATCAATTTTTGGTAAAGAAATGACATTCACAGGCTTTCGTGTGTGGTTGAAAAGCATTGCAATATACTCAAATTCGCCCTCTCTGGGAAAAGCCATTAATTTTCCGGCAAAAAGCCAAAAACACATGAATGCCAATTGCTCAAGAAAAAAAAACTTAGCAAGTTCACAACTTTCCATCTTTTGCGAATGGATTTCATATCAGAGAGAAAACTTCAAGAAAATAGTTTGAAGAATCGATTAAAATTGAATGAAAATTGCAGTCATGGGAGAATCACTCATCAATGCTCGTAATCTTTATGAAAAATTACCCCGAAAGTGATTTGGAGTCACATAAAAAACCCTTCGTTGCCGCCAAAGAAAAACTAATAAAGCTCGATAGAGTCGTGATAAGAAATTCTGCAGAGCGATCGATAGTGAGGGCAAAATTCAACAAATAAATACATTTAATTGTGTTGAGTCAATCTTGAATCGATACAAATTGCCATATCGCTGCCATATCAGTGTTTTCTGCTCGTGAGATTGATAAAAAAAAACACCACCTCAGAAAACTGATAACGCGACTGCCGATATGCATAATTTGCTGGTGATTTCGTCAGCTTTTCGGCCAGCAATTCAAGTTCAAGTCGAATGTGGTTAATAAAATTCATAATGCTGGCGAAAACGAGGAACTTCATCACGTACAATTCATATTGTTTCCACTTTTCCCGTGTTATTTCTGGCTTCAACTCAGACAAAACAGTCGGAAATTCACATAAATTTCAAATAGCGATTTTCCCATTGTTTGCTAAGCACTAATATTTCCATAATTTATTTAGTGTTTGTATTTTGAGAATGTTTTCTGTGGTTTATTGAGCTTCTGGAAGAAAAATGCTGCAGAGTATTTTGACCCAATTTCCCACACAGAGAGAAATGCCGGAAGAATAGAAATTCCACTCAATTAAGGTATAAACCCTTTCAGTCCTTATTGTGTATGAAAATAAAAACGATATGAAGGCCGGAGGAATGGAAACAATTCAATTAAACAGAGAAATCTGTCGATTCCTGGACAAGCGGCGCAGGATTTCAATCTACACACGCCGCAATGTTTTCCATCCAAACACACTTTGCTCTTCTCTTTTCTCTCTGTTTACCTTTCACCAACATAATTCATATGCATAGAGTTTTCCCGCATTGTTTGTCTTACAATTCCATCGCCGTTCGACGGTTAAGTGAATTGAGACACTTTTTGGGAAGGAAATCTACTGACTGTGGATGAATTGCGGCGTGTGTGTGTGAAGGAAAAGTGAACAAGCATTTTTTGAAGGAGAAAATTCCTTCACTTTCGGCATAATTATATTGATTTTCCCTCAGAAAGGACGCAATGCTAATTTGCTTAAAATATTTTTGGCCCATTTTGCATACAACATTCACTAGCTCTTCTTGGCATCGCCTAAAGGATTTTTCGTCTATTTGCATTAACATATTAGCATAAATTTTAGAACACTGGAGTAAATACGGTGAACATGAATTTCCTAAATTATTGGAGTTTTGCATAAATTTACCTTAAATTTATTTTGCATCATGCGAATTTCTCGGATTATTTGCCGGTTTTTGCAATGACTAAATTCTTACCTTTGAATAAACCGATAAAAGATTGATTTTTCACTCATTTTCCAATCCGAATAATATGCATTTCAATTCCACAGCAATATTTCTTTGGTTCGTTGTCAAAGATAGTAAAAAAAAATCCGGCAAACAGCACAATAACGCAAAAGAAACCGTCTGTTTTGATGTTTTGACTTCTTCTAAGCTAAGCAAAGGCAAGAACGGGTGTTGTTTCAGTTGGTAGGAAGTTATTTTTGTTGAAACAGAACACCAAAACACTGCTCTTCTCCTCCTTGCAGATATTTATAATAGACAATTCACCTGGCGCTTATCGGTGCTTCCCAAACAACGCGATCCCCATCAAGTCGTGGTTCTGCGATCCGATGGACATCGCGCTGCTGTCGCTTCTGCCGCTGCTGGACGCGCTCAGGTTCACCAACGACGTCCGGTCCGTGCTCTCGCGGAATCTGCACCTGCATCGCCTGTGGTGATGAGACGGCCGCAGAATTGCCTCGTTTTGCCCATTTCGCACTTCAGAGTTGCGCTCAGAAGGTTCAGAACTCTTTTCGTACATTTTTTGTATGGTTTATTCTTCTGTTTTATTACTAAATGGTGCTGTGACGCTTCGGTGTGGAGAGGAACAAGCGGAAAATGCCACCATGTAGTTTAAGTAATTGAAGAGAGAGAGCAGGAACATTTCTCGTGAATTTTTGCAGTTTTATTTCTATAAAAAAAATCTTGAAATTGATCCAGTGCAAGATGAAGAAGTTGAATTGTTTGAGTTTTGCTGGAGCCAATTTTATGCTGAAAACACAATTTAGTTTTGATAGAAGTGAAGAAAGTATAAGAGGGATCTTAAGAGAATTTAAGTGAAGAATAAGGAATGAAACATGTAAATATACGTTTTTAAATTAAACTTTAAGAATACAATTATTAGCTGTATTAAATTATGTAGGAGAAATCTTATATAAGAGATGACAGAAAAAATGTGTGGAGAAAAAGTATTCTGCAAGGTATAAAAGAAGGGGGAGAACTTTAATTGCATCCGATCAGAAACAGAATTTAAGAAGAAATACTTGGAATTTGAGGTGAGAATTCTTATTAAATGAAATTTTGTAATATTAATTCTTGAATTGTAATGCGAAAGTATACAAATAATTCAATTTCAACCTAATTTTCTTTCTCAGCAGCAAATAAAAGTGTGAATTGTTAATAATAATAGAGATGAAAAAAGGACAAAGACAAAGAGGAATAAAAACACATGTTTAATTATAGAATCTGTGTGTCATGGAAGATTATTTACTTGCGATGAGAGAAATCTTGAGGAAGTAGTGAATAAATTTCATGGAAGCTCTGTACAAAGGAAGAATCAACACAATTTAGATTTGTAAAATCATTCTAAGGAATCATTTAAGAATGAAGGAAAAAAAAACATGTTGAACAAATAAATCAAGTGTCAACGCATCTTTTGTTTGAGCTGTAAATATTTGGTAAGAAATCTGTAATTTGCAGAGATTGGACTGAAAAGCCTGCAAATGTATAAAAAGACTTTATTCACGGCACATGACTAATCTTCACAGGAACGATTCGACTGTGGATTTGAGGAGTGAAGCTCCGTGTGAAGCCTAAACCCAAGGAAAAAACCCGCTAAATGCCCCCGAATATTTGGTACAAAATCGTCTACATGATCTCGAGGCTGCTGTCGCTGTTCTTCGTCACGACTTCCGTCTCGCTGGACCCGGACCCGGTATCGTTGTCGTCGTTCTTGTCATGATCCGCGTGCTGCGCCTTGTCCAGCAGCTGCCAGGCGGGAATGGAGGGCGGCACGGCCTGCGAGAACTGCTTTCGGCTCAGCAAGATGCCCTTCACGGCTTCCACCTCGGACTTGATCGTGAGAATCTCCTCGTGGAGCGCGCTGCGCTGAACGGCGCGGTCGAGATCGTGCTGCAGCTTCGCCACCTCGGCGTTGAGGTCCGTGAAGCCTGAGCGCACGCGGTCCTCCAGCTCCGTCACGGAGTCCCGCACGGACTTTCGCCGCTTGCGCCCGAACAGGAAGGGCTCGATATAGTTCCTGTACAGCCAAATGATGCACCACGCGATGGCGCCGAACACGGCCGCGGACTGCAGCGCCTCTCGGATGCGCACGAACAGCGACGGAGGCGTCAGGGCGTAGCCCGAGCTCATATTCACCACCGTATGGATCTGCTTGGGGTCCAGACTGTACACGCCCGCGCGCTGGCACGCCAGCTCAATCTCATCCTCCCGCAGGCCCTTTGACCGCAGGAAGCCGCGCTTTTGGTCTAGTGCACTCCGCGCCACGTTGGGGTTCTGCAGGAAGGTCACGGCGGTGCTGATCTGCGGGGAATCGGATGGTCAGGGGATTCTTTGTGCCACTGTCTGCGGCTCTCTCACCAGATTCTCCCGCGGCGGCGGCGCGGCTGTGTCCGGCGGATTGCTGTCCATCGCAATGTGGACCTGGACCTCAATTTTGAAGGCTGCTTCTTGTGCAGATCACTCGGAAAGGGTCCTGGAAAATTCGCTTCCCCAGAGAAAGTAAAAGATCGTGCACTGTTTCCGAGTCGTGACTTTTTAATTCCGAAGTCTCGTAAGAAATCACTGCTATTGCGACTGAACGACTTGTTCAATTGTGTCGATTATCACGATTGTCGGAACTTTGTTGCAAACGAGTAGAAAATTGATGGTTAGGAGCTTCCACTGATTTTCTCAGAAGTAAACTCATACATTTTGAGTAAGTATAAGTAAAGAGGAATGCTCAAAATTGCGCTCAAATCACAAGTCCTATAAGCTGATTTCACACTAATTTTCATATTTCAACGATGGACACTTTGTAGAATACTCACATTTGGTGAATTGGCGCTCTGTTATTTTAGCCGAAAATCGTCGAAAAACCCCCGAACGAGATGTTCACAGCGCCTCTTAGCGACTGGTATCCGCGAATCTTCTTTGGGTGACAGCAGCAAAGCGAAAACAACATCATTCTTGTCATGGACGCCGTGAGCGCAGGTTGTTTTGCTGCAGATTTTCCGCGATTTTCCCTCAAGTGACCGTGTTTTTCCCACTGAAATGTGCTCAAGCGAGTGAAGGACAATGCGTGGGACACGAGTGCAGTGCAAATTGAGGTGTGATACCGTGATTTTGGCCACCATCCTCACCTTAAGCGGCCTGTTTACAAAATGCCATGGCAGCCAAGGTGAGTCTCGTAAGCGCTTCATTGGGCCCGGATTTGGGCCATCTGCGTTGCAAAATGCCGGTCTGCGGCCCTTCCCGGCGGCCGGGCCTCCCGAAAGTGCCTCGAGAGGCTATTCGGGGGCACAAATTAGCCATTAGCATGTCTTTTGCGTGAGTCTTTCACCCGCTTTTGGGTTGTATTTATCGATTTGTCGCCGAGACTCTGCGTTGTTTGACTTTTCCGCCTCTTCGCATCCTCTTTTCGCCCTTTAAATCAACCTCTCCGGGGGCGGAGGAGGCGTTTGCCATTCCCGGCGACTGCCTCCTAATCACACTCGCTCATTGAAAGCGATTATTTCACACGCCGAGCTCCCTTTGTCCTGGAGGAGCGGCAACACTTGTCCTCTGTGTCAGAAGAGCGGCTGTTGCAAATATTTGGACTAGCAAACTCGCTGACTGGACGCAATTCCCCGGCCTGGAGTGGGCAATGGCAGAGTTTAGGGCGTGCTGGGAATCCCAAAGATCTCAGGTATTCGATTATGCCGAGAATGGGCAGGAAAGTTCTGCAAAATGCGGCCAAGAAGCATAAATTTTTACTGCTCCAAACGCTTGAGGGATGAGAAAATATTCCTCTGGGCTGAGAATGGCTTTATTTTGTAAATTGAACTTGCAGGCAGAGAAGAAAAGGCCAAGAGAGTAGCTTATCTTTCAAATCTACGTAATGCTTGGCATAGATTTGCTGGTTTAAGTCTGCGTTCGATGATCATAACTTGGTTAACTTCTTGAAGCTTCGACAAAATTTATAGTATTTGCTGTTCTTTCGTGGAATTATAGCAATTGAGATGTTATAAAATTACTTTTGAAGGAGTTTTCACACCAAAGTTCGCATTTTGTTATACGAAATTGAAGTAAATTCCTCAATTTTTAGCGTCGTCTTTCATTGAATACTACTTTGGCTTTGTTCAACCGGATGATATTTGTATTCTATTCTTAATGGATCTTTTTTTCCGTGAGATAGTGCGAGATTGATAACAAATCATCTTCATACAAGCTTCCTGATTGAAGACACTTAATACAAATGCGCTCTTGAATGTTAATGAGACGCAAATGTGAATCTGAACACTACTGGAGATGAGCTTCTGCTATCAAACTAGTTTTTTATGACATTCCAATTAGAAAGAATGCTGTCAATGTCGTTCAGTGGGTTACTAAATACATAAGAATCTGTCTGTGACGAGATTTCTGAACTTTACAGTGTGCTTTTGACATGCTAATTTGTGGCATTTTATTTCTTTGGCTGTTTTTGGAGGAGAAAACAAAAAAAAATCCTTACTTATCAGCGGCATTTGTCGTGAAGGAAGAAAGAAAAAGAATGTCAATGTCCGCTTTTTGCTCGTCAAACAGAATTGCGCGTACAGATTAGATGGGCGGGAGTGTAATAAGAAATTCATGTTTGCGATTTCGCTGATAAGATCAGCGGAAAGAGAGGCGATATCGTGTTGTATTTGGACTTGTGATTTCTCAACAAAAGAGGCCAAAAGAGCGGGAAAAAAGTGCAAATAGTAAGAATTATCATATTGATTTTTTTTCTCGCAATTTCCCTACAAGCTTTCGGTCGCGATTTCCAACTCTGCACAGAACTTATTGTTACACAAAGTAATAAAGCGATTCATTTTATTTTTCCTTATCGCTGAACTCTTCTGCGTTTCGTCACACTTTATCCACACCTTCGACTGATCAATCTCGTCATTTATCTTTTCCCTAACAATCTATTTTACTACAACTTTTTCCCGCAATTTGATTAATGAAGTTCTCTCTTTTACGCTTTTTCTCGTTACCTTTTGATAAGAGAAAAAGCGTGAGTATTTAAAGTGTTTTATCTGTATTTTGTGAATTCAAAATGTAATTCTTTTACAATACGTCCAATAAAAGTGATCATTTAATGCCGCGAAAGCTTAAGGAGTGTCAGAGTGTATTTAATTTAATCCATTCGGGGATTTCTTTCGTTTACTCGACATGCCTTCAAAGGGTTTTCGTCTGAAGCGTTGGTTGAATGGAATTGATGGTCAATGTTGAGAATCTGCTTAAATGGAATCCTACAGAGCAGGAAGGACAATCCGAAGAATGTCCTGACAAATAATCTTGAAGAATTTGTTTGATCATTTTCATGCATGAGTTGTAAATTAAATTCTTCCGCTTGAGAGAAATTGAGAAGAGACCCGAAAACAGGACTAAAAGAAATCTCATTGATGTTCCTGTAAAACATTCTTATTACATTCGGTAAATTGTTGCGCCAAATTTGGTCAGATCGTGCAAAGCGTGAGTTTTTCTCGCTGTGCAAAATCTCACTTTTCAATCTTATTTCTTATTAATTGATTGACAAAGAACAGCAGGGCGGAAAGCGAGGGGAAAAAGGAGTGAAGCTCTGTGCAATTGAACTTTCAACCGTTCTGGTAATATCTCAATGGATAAATCCCAATGGATTTTGCATGCAAAATACCGTGAAATATTGCTTTGAGAGATAATTTAGGAAAGGCAGGAGCGAAATATTGTCTCGACAGAGTTTCCAAATGAGAAAATATCGTGACATTTTCTTTTAATCACTCTTATGGCAGTGATCATTTGTGCAGCAGACGGGAATTAGTGTGAGTAATTGATGAAATGGCGCATGAATCAGCGCGCGATGAATAAAAGTTTGTTGTATATTGATATGAGAAATATAAAATTATTGTTTCACCAGACATTCTCACAAACGAGCCCCACATTCGCGTGATTTTTATTATTAACAGGTTCTCGGCCTTTGCATTATGTCTGTCAGGTATTTTTAGCAATTGAGGCACAAGTCTTTGGGATTTATCTTGTTTTGTCTTTTGTAAATCAGTTTATTTGAATAATGAGATGGTGGAGGAGAGGAAATGAGATCTCTTCGGGTTGTGCTCAAGGTTGTGCTCGTGTGGAAACTTTACTAATTGGGAAGTGGAGTTTTGACTACCTGCCTGGCAAAAGGTGAACCTGCAGAAGGAAGTGACCATCCCTGATGAGTTTCTGCAAAGCGATAGTTTCAATCACTTAATTTCACACTCAGGTTAAAGTGCGAAGCGTTCTCTCAACCATTTGGTCATTAGAGTAATTACCATGGACGATAAGGAGAACAAAACCAATTCACGAAGTGCTCATGGAGGCTATAAAATGTCTACAAACTCATTTTAGCGCGTGGAAAAGCGAGGAAATTCGCAGAAATGAGAAAATCAATGAATTCCATCTACTGTTGAGCTCAAAAGCAACCACATACACACACAATAGGGAATTTAAGCAATGCAGAATGAGGAGTACAGAATAAAAAAAAATAGATGTAGGGAAAAGACATTAAGGAAAATCTCCTCTCTTGTTAATTATCCAACACTATTTTGCCTTGAGACACTATTATCATTCAGTGAGAGAGGGAAAGAAAAATGCCAAGAGCGTAAAGAGAGGCAGAGAAGGAAAAAAGTGCACTGAAAATTTATGTGAAAGTTATTTCTCCTTCAAATGGTGTAATTTCTAAACAGAGTGTCTTGTGTTGTTGGCTGGCGCGCAGGGTAACATATTAAAAGCAGGAATTGCACACCACTTGCAAAGTGGGTAATTTAGAGTGTCGGAAGTTGTATTTATCAATAATTCTTCAAGAAATTTCATTTACACAGAAATTGGCGTTAATTGGAATTTTCATTTAATTTACTCTCGTCGCAATTTCAGCACTCCCACTGAAATACATACAATGTTTAAAGCAACATTGTCTCTCTAGCCGCTGGCTTTTGCATATTAGATGTTATAATAATGCAGAGAAGAAAATTCTCTCGGTCTTTGAGCAGTCAAATGGATAATTTATATAGGTGGAGATTTTTGAGGCGAAATTCTAAAAGTGGAAAAACTTTATAATAGCGTTGAATTTAGCGGAATTATTTCCTGTGTTGTGCATTTTCGAGTGAAAATAAGTTCGTGTGCCACACTTTGAATCTCTTATGAGGAGTTTCTGGTATTGTTTGCAGCACGATTTGAGATTATTTCAGCTTGATATGGTTGGCTTTGCCTTCGGAGAACAACACATACACATTGGATAGAATACACAAAGAATTTATATTGGCATTTTTTCACATCTCTGCTTGAGAGTCTGAAAAGTTTTCTGCCTGCGCTGTTTGGCTAAAAGGTGATTCCTTTGCGGTTTTGGAATATATTGAATCGCGATATTGCAAACTTGCCTCGCGAAGCCGTTTCAGCAAAACAAGAGACATCCTATGGCGTGGAGTCGATTGTGTGAATAATTTCACTGAATTGCAAACAAGTTGAGAGATGATTTTCGATGAGACTCCAGAGATAATTGAATGATCGACCGGACATTGTTTCCGCGAATGCACGCTCTGTGTTGAGTTTGGTGTGACTTTATTGGAAATTGCAGAGATTTGAAGTTTGATTTGAATGAATAATGACGATTTTTCATAACAAAAATCATAGTTAGGGGTTTTAGAAGGTAAAATAGTGTCTTATTAAATGTTAAGGATAATATTTCTATGAATTACACGACGAAATTCGTAAAGTTGCATAGGCTTTCGATTGACAACAGCATCAAGTCCTGGACAGTCGGTAGTGTTGTCATGTGGCGAACTTGAAAATGCCAAATCTCTTCAATCTCTCTCACATTGAGCATGATCTTTCTATACTTTTATACCCCCTATTTGAATACATACTCATTTCACACCATAAGTTGCAGTGCTGCAATTCACTGAGAGACATAATGACGATAATAACAGCAAATTAAAGTCAGTTCGCGCAAATCCCAATGCCCGAGCGTGACTCTCTTCCAACCACACAATCTCTTTCCTACCCATTCTCCTCTGTTGCTCATATAGATGGGCTACAAAGCGTGTGTCCAGCTTGACTCGGCATCTCGTCTGTGCAAGAACTAATCACTCCCTTTCCAACACTTTCCAAACGGGTGGTGAATTGCACGAGATCAGCAGCGGATTAAGTGGCGGTCGCAATTGT